CCCCCCCCTCCCCCCCCCCCCCCTTTCTTCAGCGAGCTTTGAAGTCGTGATCGACTGCTTTGCTTTGCAGGCGTTGCGCGGCCTGCTGGCGCAAGGGAGCGCCATGGCTGCAGCTGCTGCGGCCTCAGCGACCGACTCCAACGATTCTCTTCGTCGAGCCATCCTCCTCGGTGAGTGGCGCACGCCATCGGCACGATGAATCAGGTCACCCGTCCAGCTTTGCTTGCTGCAGGTGAGTTGGTGGCTGCATTCGACCGCATTGGGCCTTTGTACGCGCGCATGACCTCCCTGCACGCCCGGCAGCCGCTCAAGGGTGCCAAGGAGGACCCGGCGGCCGTCCTGCAGCCCCCTGCGCACCGCAACTGGCGGTCACTCGTCGGCGAAATCAAAGGGATGGATCACGAGGCCACCGCGAGCGTGCTGTCGGCTTTGCAGACACAGCTGGACGGCTACTCGGCATTCCTGCAGCAATATTTGGCCGAGAAAGAGCGCCTCGAGGCCGACGAGAAGGAGTACCAGCGGCTGGAGGAATTGCGCAAGAGGGAGGTGGCGCAGAGGGCGGCGTGCAGGGCGGCACACGGAGAGGCGCCGTGCACTCCCGTGGAGTTCTTCGTCAAGACCCTCACGGGCAAGGAACTCCCTTTTCATGCCGACCCGGCCTGCACGGCTGTGCTGTGGGTGAAGGAGAAGATTTGGGACTGCATGGGCATCCCCGTCGACCAACAGCGGCTCATGTGAGCTCTGTGGAGAGAGAGAGAGACGTCATAGAGAGACAGAGAGGTCATCCGTAATGCTGGGTGCCATGTGTCAGATTTGACGGGAAGCAGCTTGAGGATGAGCGCACCCTGGGCTACTACAACATCCAGAGATACAGTAGTCTGCACCTGGTGCTGCGTCTGCGGGTATGTCCACCCCTGCACAGACCCAAACCCCAAGCAGACCAAATGCGTGTGTGTGTGCAGGGCGGCATGTTGGCCCCCGTGAGTGGTCGTTTCGGCTTCCTCCCGCTCCTGACGTTCAGCGGTTCGCATCCTCCTAGGATGTCGGGCGTGCACAGCCACTACCTGGAGCGAGGAGAGAAGGAGATCAAGTGCCACGAGGAATGGTGAGTGGAGTGAGCATCCAGACGTATCACAACGCACACCACACACAAGCTCGCTCTCTCTCTCTCTCTCTCTGTGTGTGTGTGTGTGCACATCAGGTACACGTCCACGTCGGTGTTTGCTGACCTGGGCCGTGCCAACAACTCTGCTGGCAGCATTCAATCGCTCCTCAACGGTGTGGGCGAGACCATCATGTGGCTGCGGGCCGACATGAAAGCTGCCGAGACTGTCATCTTCTACACAAATCGCGAGGCGGCCGAGGAGAACGAGGACCTGGCGACCCGCATGGAGCGGCTGAAGCGCAAGCGGCAGAGCAGCAATGATAAGGGGGAGAAGGAGGGGGAGAAGGAGGGGGTGAAGAAGGGGCGGATGGGCGGAGTGGGGAGTGGGGCTGTATAGACGGATGGGGCACGACACACACACGCACCCACAGACATAAATCGACCACAGACAGACAGACAGACAGACAGACAGAGAAGAGAAGAGGCCCATCCACCCATTCATTCCCAGCAGCGAGAGCAGAGCTACGACATGTCTGCGGTGACGTATGTCTCCTTCCCTTCAATGGAGAGCTACGCGGGCGCCAAGGAACCGCAGACGTAGCTCTCCATAAGGCAAAGGAACCTACGTGACCGCAGACAAACAGGTGAGTGAGAGATCCGGTGTGGATATTGACCGGTGGGGCGCCTGCAGTTACACCCATTCCTGTATATATAGACGGCGGTTTTTTTTTCTTGGAAGTGACTGTACAGGAGAATGGGAATCTCACTAAGAACACACGTATGCATCGCGCTACAAAAAACTCTAGGCGGCTCGGTCCTGGGGTTCAGGGTTTGGCTTAGGGTCGTCTCACACTCATTTTAGAGCCAGCGATGCATAGGAAGGCCTCTCCAGGAATCCCTTTCCACCGCCATCATCACCACGAGGAGACAGTTGAAGCCTGACTCAGCCCTCATTTCGTGTGTTGGTCGGGATGTCGTCGGTCATCGGTCTGAAGCGGCCGATGGACGGCCACACGCCGAGCATGGAGCGCAAGAAGACCCGCTGTCACTATGGAGCCCACGCGGGGATGCAGGAGGGGAGCGGTGGGCACTCTCGCGACCCAGGCAGCGTCGCCAGGACATCGCCGCACCGAGGCGACGCGGCCTTCGCCGCCAAGCTCCACTCGCTCAACAGGGACTTCCCTCACGTACACATCGGGGTGAGTCAGTGACCTCAACCCATCACGACACACACAAACGACACTACACACCTCACTGTGTGACCTTCCTGTGTATGTGTGTGTGGCGTGCTGCAGGTGACTCGTGCGTTCCTGGAGACCCACCAGGACCTACAGACGACCGCTGCGGCGCTGCGGGAGTTTGTGCGGTACGAGAGCGCCTCGCGACAGCCACCAGCAGCGGCGGCAGCGGCAGCAGCGGCTAGTGGCGAGAGCAACGTGCATGTGCATGGGGGTGGTATGGGAGGGGGGATGGAGGGGGACTCTGCCAGTGCTTGTGGGGGTGGTGTTGTCGAGGGGGCCGTGGCTGCTGCTGCGGCGGCGGCGGCTGCGTCCTCGCCCGTAGCTGAGAGGGGTCGAAAGAGGCGCGCCATGATGGCTGTAGAGGGTGACCGACCGGAGCGGCCACACAGGGATGGGAAGAGATGGTGTGTACTTGTGTGTGTCTATGTGTGCGTCAGGTGCGTCGTCTTCCGATCCTCCCTTGGAGCAGTTTGACGTTGACGCGTGGGTGAGGCACATCATCAACCAAATCAAGGAGTGAGTGAGCAACGCATTCAACGCAGCACAGCACACCACGGAAGCATCGAGAAATGGCTGGCTGCATGGATATTCTCTCTCCATCCCTCCCTCCCCCCCTCCCTGCCTGTGTTGTTGTGTGTGCAGCTGTCCGAACGCCGAGAGTGCCATGATGAAGCTTAGCCCAGTCATAGTCGGTACACACCACACACACATCCACACCCATACAGACGCACATACAGTCCCGTACCCACACCTGTCCCCTGTCCCTCCCTCTACAGAGTTGGCTAACAGCGTGCAGTCTTCGACACTGGTGTCGATGCACCCGCACCCTGACACACACGAGGCGGCCGAGGCCTCCCAGCCCGCCGCCGCATCGGCCGAGGCAGTAGGGAGGATGCAGAACACTATTAGAAGTGAGTGAGGGATTAGGAGGGGGGACGGGGGGAGAGATGCATCCATCCATTGGGTGCACTGTGTGTGTCCGGTTGGTATGGTATGTGCAGCACTGCGTGACGGCGTTCGCAACCTACACGAGAAGAATAAGGCAAACTGCGACACACACACAAACGCACATAGCACAGCACACAGCACACGAGGGAACCATCAACACACACTTTTCTTTCTCTGTGTGTGGGTTTGTGCAGAGTTTGGCGCGTCGTGTGGATGAGGGCAGCGAGACGGAGGCGGCGCTCAAGCAAGAGCTGCTGGCCACGATGGAGAAGCTGCGACGCGCAGAACAGAACAATGCCATGCTGGCCTACAGACTGCAGGTCAGTGACATGGCATGCACCCCACAACACATTCCACAACACAAGACACACACACATGGTGACGGACCTCCTCTGAGTGTGTGTGTGTGTCCAGATGGCGGAGCCCTCCTCGGCGAGCAACTTGATCCATCGCAGGGGCCCTGACGTCTGCTAGCACATGACATGACCTCCTCCCTCTGTCTCTTTCCCTCGATCTTTGCCACTCACGCCCGCCTGCTTGCACAGCCTTTTTTCAACCGGCAGGCGGGCCGAGTAGGAAGGAGAGAGGGAGGGGGAGTGGGGAGGGACAGAAATGCCGGCTGCACGATTTCTATATCGGTGGGGGCCTCCGGTCCATGTTTTTGCATACTGGGTGGGACGCACAGGCAGGCAGGGGCAGGCGTGGCATGCACATTGTTTGGTTGTGTTTGGTATATACACGCGTGTGCGTACGCCCGTGCAGCTCACCTCACCTCTTGTCACCTCTCTGTATGGAGCTTTCTTGCATGGATCTCATCTCTCTGCGTGAGAGGGTGTTGTGTGCATGTGCGCGGACCGACCGACGGACTCGCCCCTAGTGAGTGTCTGAATTCGTTTGCGGACCGACTCACTGGCGAGATGGGTGGGTGGATGGATGGATCGTCTGTCTACTTGATGTGCTCTGAAGGCAGACAGACAGATGTGCGGCCTGTGTGCCTGTCTGTTCTCCGTGAGCTCGAGATCCTTCTCCGACTGCCTTTGCTGAGGTCAGTCTGGGATAGATGCCGGGCCTCGGCGGGAGCAGGCACGCAGACAGACTGGTGATAAGGAGCCTTTGGCCTGATTTGACCAGTGATCTCTGTCTACAACAGCATTTTTGAGCTTGCCCGCGGCTCTGGAAGCATAGTGTCTCGTCACGGAACATAAGTCAAAAAGGTTTCACCAATCGGTCAACCAGTTTGTCAAGCTGAGGCAGGAAATAGAGATCAGCCAGAGGTGGTATGCACCAGTAGATGTAGCTCAGCGTGATTGACTGACAGCAAGCGATTTACAGCATTTGTAAACGGATTCGCAATCGCGATGCGGGGCGTTTCAGCCTTCTTCAGCACCATCTGGGCAGCCGTTTGCTCCTTGATATGGCCCGACCTGAAGCAGCTGACCGTCCCTCAACTTGCGAAGCGCTTCTCGAGCCGGTTTTCCTTCATCAGCCTTAGTCCCCTCCGTGAGCTGCATCGACGGCTGACTGTGGCTCAGCCTGGATGCCAGAAGGACATCATCTATGCTGTCGTCGACGCCATCGATGCCCTGCCGGTGCTGGTGCTGCTACTCAAGAGCCACTGGCTTCCAAGCGTTCAGCTCGAGGCGGCCAGATGCCTGGCAGCCATCGCCTTTATACGCCTTCCATTCGCCATCACCGCTGACGCCCTCATTAAGGCCGGTGCCATCCCTGCTTTCGTGCACTTGCTCTCGTCCCCCCATGAGCTCGGTGTGCGCGTTCACGCGGCGAGTGCCCTCTGCAGCGTCGTCTGCAGCGTCGACTACTCACGATCCCGACCCCCCGACGGAGGAGGGCAACTCATCTACTCACGAAAGGGGCTCGTGGATGGTGTCAACATGACATCTTTGCTCGGCGTCATTTCCGAGGGACTTAAAAGCGGCGATGGGGCCATCCAACTCGCTCCCGCCAGTGCCCTCCGCGACCTGTTGCGAGAGGCGCCGCCCATCCAGGAGGCCATCGATGCGGGCCTCATTCAACCAGTGGTGGCCGTTCTCGCCAATTCGGTTCGCCCGAAGCTCCAGTTTGAGGCGGCGTGGGCGCTGACCTACATCGCTTCGGGCACATCGAAGCAGACCCAGGCCGTCGTCGATGCGGGCGGCATCCCGCCCCTCATTCAGCTGCTGTCATCGTCCCCCCATCTCGATGAGCGCGTCTACGTGGCCAGCGCACTCTGCCGCATTGCGACTTCACGGCAAAGGGTGGTGGAGGGAGTCAGCCTGGCCTGTCTGCTCGGCGTCATTTCCGACGGACTCAAAAGCGGCGATACAGCCATCCAGCTTGAGGCCGCCGCTGCAGTTGGCAGACTGCTCGCCATCGAAGAAGTGCCGCCCACCCAGGAGGCCGTCGATGCGGGCGTCGTTCAACCACTCGTGGGGTTGCTCAGTGACTCGAGCATGCCGAAGGTGCAGTATGAAGCCATGTGGTCGCTGACCAACATCGCTGGGGGCACATCGGGGCAGACGCAGGCCGTTGTCGAGGCTGGTGCCATCCCGCCCTTCGTGCAGCTGCTGTCGTCCCCTTACGATGGTGTGCGCGAACCGGCCGTGTGGGCACTCGGCAACATCGCCGGCGATCGGCAACATCGCGACCTGGTGCTGGAGGCGGGCGTCATGGAGCCGCTGCTCAAGGTGCTGCGCGAGAGCAAGGAGGTGTCAATGGTGGGCACAGCCACCTGGACGCTCTCCAACCTGTGCCGTGGCCGGCCCCAGCCGCTCTTCGAGTTGGTGTCGCCAGCGGTGCCGGTGGTGGCAGAGCTCATCAAGAGGCCTGACCAGGACGCTGAAGTGCTCAGACAGGGGTGCAGGGTGCTGTCGCACTTCACAAGCGAGAGAGGCGACGAGCGCATCGAGGCGGTAGTCGGGAGTGGTGTGTGCGGCCGATTGGTGGAGCTTGTGGGCCATGACAGCTGTGAGATCCAGCAACCTGCAGTGAGGACTATCGGCAACATCGTGGCGGGTAGGCACACGAAATGCTGAGAGACGACACGCGCACACGCCTTACCGAGCGGCGGCCTGGGCGTTTCTGTTTGTGTGTGTTCTCAGGCAATGATGTGCAGAAACAGGCGATTATCGAGTGCGGTGCCATTCCTGCTTTGCGGGCGCTGCTGTCGTCGCCCAACGAGAATATTCGCAAGGAGGCGTGCTGGACGTTCTCCAACATCATGGCTGGTGGGTGAGCTTAAACAAAGCAGTGGGGACAATGACGTATCTGTGTCTGGTCAGGCTCACGTGAGCAGCGCCAACGTGAGCAGCGCCAGGTGGTCATCGAGAGTGGTGGGGTGCCCCTGCTGATCACCATAGCTACCACAGACACGCCGGGCGTCAAGCGAGAGGCACTGTGGGCTATCATCAATGGAGTGGGACTCGGATCGCAGCAGCAGGTACAGATAAGACCAGCTGGAAAGAATGTGCTGTAATGTCATGGTTGTTCAGGTGGAGTATTTGGTTGAGTGTGGTTGCGTCGGGCCGCTGTGCGATCTGCTTGTGGACGGCACCGAGGTCGCAATGCTCAGAGACGCACTCCTTGTAGTCCACAACTTACTGCGGTGCCCTTTCTATCACAACACGACACACAGCTATGCCATGGGCGAGCATCCCGCCTGTGTTGCCGGTCTGCCTGCAGTCTTGATGAGGACGTCCAGGCGCGTGACGGCCTCCCGCACAACCCCTACTGCAACCTCATACGACAGGTAGGTCACATGCGGGCGAAAAAAGAAGGCGCCCATCTGCTTATCGTCTGTAGGCCGATGGAGTGGCCAGGCTTTCGCAGCTGACGCACCACGCCGATGAGAACATACGCACCCTGGTCTGTCGACAGGATGTTTCCCCACACGGACGTCTCTGCATCCATTGGCTGCGCTTGTATTCCTCTGTTCAACAGTCTGTTGCGTTGGAGGCTATGATGGTGGAGGCCATGGAGGCTATGATGGTAGAGGATGACACCGACGTCGGCTCAGAAGGCACCGACACCGAATGCTTCAGTGACGGGAAGGACGGCAACGAGTGATTGCGGGCAGGGGTGTGTGATGATGTTGTGATTTTTGCCTTGTGATGATCTTGTGAACATTCATCTCTGGGTGGACCAATGATCACACCGTGCATGGACTGATTGCCATACGAATACATACGTGATGACAGAGTCTCAGAGACAGCCCTGTCGAGCATAACAATCGAGGGAGCCACAGGTCATGCACCCTATTAGAGACACGCCCACCCACACAAACCACACACACACAGAGCATCATCCATCATGCACCTATCGCCTGCGGAACTTCAGCCTTTCTCGCGCCAAACCATAGTTCCTCTTTCTCTTTCGACGCACCGACGGCTGCTCTTCACGCCACATTATATCCCTATACCCCACGTCTGCCCATGAGCCATACACTGCCTGGCCAGCAGCACCAAAAGCAGCACTGTGGCTGAACACATCGGCCAAAGCTGTCCCATTCGGCACCATCGATGGTGTCTCGGTGGTCGGGATTGTCGTGTTTGCGCCTCCCGATTTGACTTCCTCTCCCTCTTTCTCTTCTTCCTCTTCGTCGGCAATCTCTCTCTCGGTGGGTGCGGGGCAGAGCCCATAGATCACCTGAGCCGCCCTGAAGTTGCCGCCAGCCTCCATTATTCCCGATGACGAGTAGAGTCTGCACTCGATGGTGAGCAGGCCGCTGTCTGGTGTGTGTCCGGGGTAGTCGAAGAAGACCTCATAGCAGCGAACCGTCTTGCCCAGCAGCTGCTGCATCCGAACCATGCGCATCCTGAGGCACTCAGACAGACCATCCAATGGTACATATATATCCATGTCTCATCCGTCGAATCGACCACCTGCAGAGTATGTCAACAATGGGGTCGTGTGTGTTCTTGACGTGTCTGTTCATGGAGGCCACGTCGACGAGATGCACGGCCACCTGCTCGCTGATGCCGTCTGCCTCCCTCACCGAAGGGGCCATCTTGTGGTCGCAGGCTTTCCCCGGGCCGCCCTCGGACCGCTGGGCCTGGACGAAGCAGCCGTCCGGCGGTGCGCATGGGACGGGCGGGTGTGATGGGTGGGGGTAGTCAGGGGGGTGGCGCATCTTGAGGCCGGCGAAGGTGTGGTCCTCCCGATTGAAATGTTCGGGGCTCGTGAACTTGCACAGACGACACAAGACCCTGCTGCTGTTGCTCGCGTCAACCTGACACACATGGTATGTGGGAGGGATGAGTGGGTGTCTCGGTGTGTCGGAGTCCCCCACCTTGAGAGAGTAGGCCATGCACATGGGGTTGAGGCTGCACTCGGCCTCGCACAGATTCTCATTGTAGGACCGGTACTCCTGCAGCCGATCCAGCCAATCGAGCACCCGCAGGATGTCGGCCTTGCACCCAAGACCCTCCCGACGCTCGTAGAAGAAACGCGGCGCGCAGTGCTTCTCCATCTCCGGATCTGACCACATGACAACACAAACAGACCAGCATTGATGTCTCCGTTGAGAGACCAATGTGTCGTTTGCTCACATTTCTCCCCCAGCCAGAAGTTGGTGGTGGATTTGTCGTCGTGGCTGCAGCCGAATTGGGGGTTGATCCTCTCGTATCGTCCCCAGTTGTCCTCGTCCCCTTCCAACGCCCCCTTCGCATAGCCTTTGTGACCAGACAGAACCACGCCCTCTGCAGAGACGACACACAAGCATCTTCACAAGCCCACAGAACACGGCACGTGCATTGGCTGGTGGTTTTCGTACCATCCTCTTCTTCCGTCGGGGCGCCTCCCTTCTCTGGAGGAGTAGTCGGTAGCCCTCGCTTCGCCCCTTCTTCTTCTGCGGCAGTCCTGCTATCCACCCTAATCTCGCACACACTCATGGCCGTGTCGGGCTGGCGAGACTTGGCCTCGCCCAGCCGGTCTGGCACCCGCACCACCCACAGATACTGCCCCTTGGCGTCCTCCGGGCATTTGAGTGTGTAGGATGGGTCGAGAGACGAGGGAGTGGACTCGCATTCGGTGTTCTGGCGGGGATCCCTGTTTGACGAGCCGACAAAGACGGTCACGCCAACGAGGCGGTATCTGGGAAGAGACGAAGGGACAAGAAGAGAAGGGGAGGTTTATTGTTATTGATGCATGTCTCAATGTGGCTGTCCATCCATCGTGACCATGTCTCTTGACTCGGTGTATTGGTGAGCGTCACTGTTGTCACTTCCGCTGCCTGCCCGAGGTCAACCATCAGCCTGTGTACACAGGAGGGCGTACAGTGATGTCTAACGGTCTGACGCCTGAATGCCAAGCGAATAGCTGACCATGGATTGGGAAAGGTGTCTTTGGGATCTGTCTGGGCGCTGCATGAAAGACAAAGAGCGTACAACAAGACACACCATGTACAGTGGAAGGAAAGAGAGTAGCAGTCGACACCTAGTGTCTATTCCCACCATGTTTCGGGCTTCCCATCCACCGCCAGAGACGCCTGATGGCCCTCACCAGTGCTGCTCTGCAGGGCAGGCTTGTTCAACGCACCAACACTGCCCCCGGCGCTGCCCCAAACTGGCGTGCCTCCACCCTCGCCTGCCTCCCCAAACGGGCCCAGGTCTGGCTTCTTCGGCCCTTCTGGCTTCTCTTCTTCTTCTGGTTGCCTTTCCGGCGCGGCCGTTTTGCCCTCGACAATGACCTCACAGACACTCATGGCCGTGTCGGGCAGCCGGGCCTTGTCGGGTCCAAGCCGGTCTGGCACCCGCACCACCCAGAGATACTGTCCTTTGGTGCCATCCGGACACCTGAGTGTATATGAGGGGTCAATGGCTGCGGGAGTGGACTCGCATTCGGTGTTCTCGCGGGGGTCTCGGTCGGATGACCCGACAAACGCGGTCGCGCCAGGAAGACGGTAGCTGAAACAGAGAGAGGCAGCCATGCGTGGCTGGCGTGTGACTGTCTTCGTCCATCTTCCGACATCTCTCCAGATCTCCCTCACCGCTTGGCCTGATCTTGTGTGTTGAGGAGCAGTAAGGATGTGACCTCGACGGCCTCTCCCAAGTCAACCATGAGCCTGCAGCCGCACGGTACTCATCCATGTAGGCTTGTATGTATGGGTTTGTCACCGCAGTGCTCACCATGGGTTTGGAAACGGGTCCATCGGATCAGTCTGAGCACTGAACGGCGAAGAAAGCAATCGACCAACTCATAAACCATCATTCACACACCAACTTCATCCACTGTACGTCTGTTACCATGTCTCCGGCCTCCCATCGACAGCAAGGGCAGCCCCGCGGTCGCCACCTACACTGCTCAGCCTCGCAGGCTTGTTCAGGGCGATCGTCGAGCGCTCTTCGGGCACATCTGCATCTGCCTCTCTCTCCTCCCTCTGTGTCACGAAGACACTCGTTGCTGCTGTTGTCGCGTTTGGTGGGCGGCCGCCCATGGTGTGGATGAGGGATGCAGGCGCCGCCGATGATGCCTGGCAGATGCCCTGGGAGTACTCCTTGAAGGACTCCACGTGCAGGTCGTATTTGCTCGAGGTGCCTTGCGTGAAGGGCAGGTAACACTTGTCTGTTGAGCGACAGCACAACAAAGACACCAACAGGATCTCCTCACACCCACCCGGGTTGATGTTGCCTTTGTGCTCTCCACTTCACCTCTACACGTATTTCCCCGTATGTCGAAATGGACGACCTTTTGGCACTTGTTCTTGCCCTCGAATGAGAGGGGGTGGAAGCTTGTTTCGCCCTGGAGCGCCACAGTGAAGAAGTCCCTCGTCTGTGAGGTGTCGAAGTTGCAACTGGCCATGAAGTATCTCCACGTGGCGTGCTCGTCCTCAACCATCCCGCCAAGTATCTCTGGACAGGACAAAACCAACTCCAGCCACCCTTTCCTCTGTCCCCCTCCCTGTGTCTCGCTCACGCTTGGGCAGATCGTAAGAGTCTGCGGGAGGCTCCCCGTGTGTGGTATTGATGAGAGTCCGATACGGCACCCCCTGGATGACAGGCAAGTTTCCGGAGTAGTCCTTCATGAAGGTCAGGCCGCGGAAGCTGTCGCCCTGGTTGGTGTAGTCCTGAAGCCGCACCGACCGGATGAGTGTCCATATCCGGTCGTGGGCCTTGTCGAAGGCGCAGTAGGTCTGGAAGGGGGTGTTGTCGGCTGTCAGCCAATATGGGCCGCTCTCCGCGTCCGTGTGCGTCAGCGCGATGGCGGAACACCCAGGAGCAGCTGCGGAGACACGACAAAGTCAGAGCGCGGGAACGAGAAGGCCTGCCTGCGTGGTCTCTGTTGGCCACTTACGGAAGGTCTGCAGGCCGATATCAACTCCTTTGACTGCACACAAACGATGGAAGAGACACATGCAAGCGTCACACGATCCGATGCCTCACCTTCCGGGTTGACGTATTTCTTCCACTGTCGCAGTTGGTCCAGGTTCTTGAGCTCAGCGATGACGGGGTTCTTGGGGTCGCTGCAGGACTGGAGGCAGCAGTCGCTGTTGGCAAGGTCGCCCCCCGGGCTGTAGAAGTTGAATGCATTGCAGCCCTCCGTATCCTCGATCTGCTCGCAGCTCAGCATGCACACGGTCGAGTTCGACACGTGGCTGCGACAGGCGCCCCCCACTTGGACGCAATTCAGCTTCCACGCCTCCAAGCGACCCACCTCGCGCCACGCACCAATCGCCTCTGACAGACAACCCGACGGTGTGGGGATGGGATGGTTCGTGGACCGTCCCCCACGCGTGCACCTCACCTCGGCAGTAGAGGCTGTCAGATGTAATGGGGAAGTTGTCAAAGAAGAATGGGACGATGTCGCTCTTCATGTCGACAAAGAAAGGGTTGTCCTTGTCGCATGAGTTGCGAATGTCGGACGAGGACTGCCCGGTTTCGACGGGGCAGCAACCGCCATAGTACTCTGCCCCCTTTATGGGCATCCGGAAAGGCACCTCGTCTCCCATCGGAGCTGTGATCAGCCTGCAGGGCACAGGAATGTCGCCAGATCAGATCCTTTCTGCAAACCATGTCCCACCACCCACCAGACGTCTTTCTGCGCTTGTCCGTTCTTCCGTCCTCTGGCGAATCTGTGCATCCAGTCGTAGCAAGGCAGTGGCGGCCCCTCAGGGATGCTGGCAAGTAGTGCCGGGTTGACGTCACTGTAGTTTCCGCAGGGGTTGCCGTAGTAGGTGTCGCAGCAGCGCCAGAAGGTCGGCCGCTTCAGCTTGCAGTGTTTGATGTCGTCGACCCAGCTCTCCACACACTTGAGAGAGGGCAGGAGCCGCTGCCTGAGTGAGTCCTCCACGATGTCGATGAAAGATATGGTGTCGTTGTCGGGTCCCTTCTCGAAGCGACGGATCATGTGCTCTGACGCAAGAGAGACACGCGGAGTGACCGGGCACCAGGCCAGGCCACACACATGCTTCTCATGATGGATTGCCCAGCCCACCTGGATCCTCATAGAACGGATCATCTGTTTTGGCAAAGAGAGGGACATGGTACATACATACCCGTGTCCCTGTTCTTCGCCTCCGTGTCTCACCCACCTCCAGTGCATTTGAGATATGCCCCGTCCTTGCCCATCTCATAGTATGCGGGATCGAGGGAAGGCGAGCCTCCAGACTCCAGCACAAGCGGGTCAAGCCTCTTTTCCACAAACGCAGTCACATTCCCAGCCCCTGGTGTCCCCGCCAGTCCGGCGCTGGCCGGCCTGGCCTTGATACTCTCCCACAAGACAGGAAGGATCGACGGGTGCGCAGAGAATCCCTCAGGAGACACCAGTGGGTGCATACACGGCGCACCAACTCCTGTCGCGCAGCAGCCCGGCTTCTCGACACGAATGCGCTCGGCAAAGTGGTCGTTGTAGACCTCCACAACCCAGTACTGCATGCGCTGGTCTGGCGGGAGGGAGGGGTCGTTGGCGGCGAACTCAGGGTCGGTGAGGAAGTGGTGGTGCCAGTTGTTGCACATGGCCTGTGGTTGCACCTCGGGCATCCGGGCCATGGTCGTCACCGACAAGGGCTGCACGGCGCACTTCTCCTTCTCCATCTTGCAGATGTCTCCCGTGCCCACTGTGCAGACGTTGACGGCCTCGCACGGCGGAATTCTCTGACGGAGATAGAAATCGGGGCGGAACGTGGCACCTGCACACAACACAAAACAGCGGCCGATAGATGAATAGTGCGGTGGCACCAAGGATGCTTTTTTGTCTGTACGTGAGCAGAGGGCCATGTGTTTCCATTCTCGTTCGGGCAGCTCTCGCGGCGTGTTGAATGAGAGGCACGTGGAGGGCAGCAGGAGGCCCCAGAAGGTCCAGTAAATGTCCATGGCCTGCGGCCACTTGATGTCGAAACACAGCATGTTGTCCTCCCATCCGTGATAAGGCGGAATTTCGATCTTCTTGGCACCCACTGACACGCACACAGATTGACGTGCGACATCCATCCTAGCTATGGCTGATCGGCCCACGTGTCACTTACTGAGGTGCCCGAGCTTCTTGAATTGCTCGAGAACCTTGGGGTCGTCTCTGAAGGGGTTCGACTCGGCCGGCTCGTAGGGGTTGATGATCTGCATGCAGTTGTGGGTGCGGGCAGATATGATCGCCTCGGCACTGCATCAAAAGAGATAAGCCATCAGCACACATCCACAAATGGGTGGGTTGGTGGTGGCTTGGTGTCCGACTCCCTCCCTTACGATGCGTCGTAAGAGCTGAACCATTTAATGTCGATGGGAATGCGGTCAGAACGGTAGCACAGGCTGGCCGTCATGAAGGCTTGAAGCGAACCAAAGTGTCTGTCAAGACAAAGGGGTAAGAAACATCGGTTTCTCTGCTGCTAAAGCTTGCTTACTCTTGGTGGGTGACAACTCGTTCGTTCCAGGCCTGCGGGTCGACATCCATGTACTCGTCTATCTGGGTGCAGCTCCGATCGGCACCCAGGGTCCCCTCAAACATGAAGACGAAATCATCAGGAAACAAAGGCCACAGCAACCCTGAAAGACAGAGAAAAGGCCGCTGAGCTCTTCTCTTTAGAGCCCGCAGGGAGGCATAATTGTCTGGGACCGTGTTTGTTCGGTGCACGGTCGAGCAAGAAGTTCCCCTCAACATTCTTGGTAACATCGGTCCCCAAAAGGCCACGGACTGAATACACAGAGAGCGTTGATAGGATCACCGCTGTATCCCTCACCGCCCGCCGCTTACTAGGTATGAACGTCCCCACATGCACATCTTTCACTACAGCCTGTTCGGCGGCGGTTGGCACGTAGAAAGGAAACTCCCACGTATACGACGGATGGCAGTAAGGCTTGTCGGTCTCGGCATGCAACGCACCCCTCGGAGCAAGCGTACGGAGTGCGTCGCCGGCGACCATCCGGCAGTTGCCCCCCTGTGCAAAGATGAAGGCCTCACAGCCCTCGGTCTGCGCACAGGCCATGCAGCACCCAGATGGGTTGTCTGCCTTGGTGTCGCCCACAATGGCGTCTGAGAAGTTGAGGGGCGGGAGGAGCCGCTTCTGGATGGTCGTGATCGCCCACACCTCTATCACACCCGACGGATGATGCACAATGTCGCACACTGAACAAGAGAACACACACAAGAGAGCATGCATTCTATTAGTCATCATTGAGATGCAGGTATGTTGTCTGTCTGTCTGTCTGGTTATCTGTCTCACTGTCTGAGCAGGGGTCGTATTCTTTGTATCCCGGAATGACATTTGCCGGGAACTTGGACCCGCTCATGCCCCTCTGCTGCGCCAGCGCTGCACTTCCATTCATCAGCACATCCACCACATGCTCCAAAACGGACTCCTCTGTGGCCGCTTCGTCTTGTCGCCTTTCTTCTCGTGTGAGTCTGGTGGGTGTGATCGGTTGCATGCGGTTCTGGGGCGGCGCAGTGCTGGCCGCAGAAGTGTTCGTGTTGGTCATGTGGGGGAGGAAGGCGGGTGGCAGGGTGGGGAGGGGGGCAAGAGGGGCAAGAGGGGATAGGGGCATCTGAGTAAGGAAAAGGAATCACAGAGGACACACGATCCATGGGCACGTCTCTTGAGCTTTCCCACCTGTTGGTCGTGCTTGTGGCGAGTCAGCAACGTGCTCGCGTTTCGATAACCCTCGCCATGAGGGACAAACGCCGAAGCTATGATCAGGAGGTGGAGGAAGAAGTCGCCAGCCTTTCGCGCCATTGCAAATGACATTGTCTTGTCTTTCCATCTTGAGAAGCGGCAGTCGGCACAGGAGGGAGGGCTGAGCCTCATGTTGCGGTGGGGCAACGCGGCCACACGACAGGCATTGTGGCGAGGCCGACAGCTTGACGTGGGCCCTCGTGCATTCAGACCCTCAACGCAGCGCAGGACAGGGTGCTGTGCACTTGGGCCGAGGGGGCTGAAGGGAAAAGCTTGCGTTGGTCGAGAACGAGGGGATCGCGTTGCGAGCTAAGCCGCGAGGGACACGACAGCCTCTCCCTTCCCGCCTGGCCAGCCTCATCACAACTCAAGATGCGGGGCTGTCTGTTCCTGCTGGTCTTTTCCTGCTTCTATTGTTCCCACTCGGAAGGACTCATCTATCCCTCGTCAGTCGCCGCGCTACGGGCTCATCATTGGAGGACCGGCGCAACGTCAGTCAGATCAGCCACCGCAACAGCCGCAACAGCAACAGCCATCGCGCCAGAAGCAGCACCAGCCAAACCTGCCGCCACCGAAACTGAGGCTGACGAACCTCATCCTGCTGCTGCCGCTGCTACTGGGCAAGAGAGGAGCACTGCTTCCATCTCTCAGCGCACGAGCGAGCCACCTGTAGTCGGCGAGTCCCCGCGCGACGTGACAGATGTTCCGGTGCTGGAGATTGAGGTCAGCGATTCATTGCTGGCAGCGAGTGCCCAAAAGGGTGAGAGTGCCGGTGATGCAGCACTAGCGGAGAAGGACAAAGAGGGAGATGAGGCAGCGGCAGCAGCGGCGGAGGAGGAAGAACAGGGAGGGGAGGAGGAGGAGGAGGAACAGGTCGATGCTGCTGCTGCAGATGAGGTGCTGGCGGTCAACGACACAGCCACCATGCCCCCTCCGTCCAAGACCTCGCCGGCAGTCCTTCGGCCGAAGAAGGCGTTTGTCACGTGGCTGGAGCGGCTCATAAGCAAGACGGGGTTCACCTTGTCGATGGCTACGTCAATCCTCCTTCTCAATGTCCCATGGTACGCCTTAAGGCAACCAAGCTACAAAGTAAACGCGAATGCGGATATGGGTATGTCCGTCCCTTCTGGTCAGGCTTGCGCTGCTCTGTATGCTGCTGAGCTACATATTCTATCCGCCTCTGTCAAGGACTGTCTTCTTCCTTGTCGGGAGGGCCACGCGACGGCGATTTGCTCTTCCTGAGGGGTTCCTGAATCGAACACTGGTGCCTTTCATCTCCATTCTAAGCGGTACAGTGACCTCGCTCACCATCAACCAGTGCTACACTCGACAGCAACAGGTGAGTGGGGAGGGAGGAATGCACAAAGAGCACAGCGTCGTGATCAATTGGACTGTTTGTGTGGCGGTTTCTGCCTCATCCTGTCAGATTCGGGCGATGATTCAAAACGAGATCTCCACTATCGACATGCTGGCCAAGTTCATAGATGTCGAGCTGCGGAATGACCCAGAGCGACGGATATTCGCCCTCGCTGAAGTGGTGAGTGTGACGGGCTGGGGAAGGGGCCATGATGTGCGCGTATGCATGCCTGTGTGTGTGTGTGTGTATTAGGACCGTTATGCGAGAGGGCTGTTTCGAGAGAACGCCTGGCCGGTTCGCATCAAGCGCCTCAGCTGGAAAGCAATCACCGGCTCTCACCACATGCCAATGAGCTACGCCCGTCCACGTGTGGCCCACTCGTCGGGCTCGGCCCGCGGTCAGGCTCCTCCCCCGCTGCTATCTCTCCCCTTCCCCCTTCAGTCAACCGCTGCAGGCTCCCCATCCGGCAGATTCGACGCAGCCCATCACGCCACATCGCCCCCCTCCGCACCCAACAAGCACCTGACGGATCTGGTGCTCCCTCGGCCATCGCCGGCCCCCCGAAACTTCATGACCCTGCTGTTCCCTTTTCTCGCGGCGAGGGATGGGACGGGGGGCCGACCAGACGTCGACGCCAATGCCACATATGTGGCAGGGAGCGGAATCGATTTCAATCGCTACAAAGTGCTCTATGACTTGCCTGCCGTTCAACAGGTGAGAACGCAGAGAAAGAGCCTCTCACCCCTCCTCTCACTTTGTGTGTCACGTGTGCTCCATTCTTCAGACTGATGACTACGCGCTGTACAATGTGGTCGATGTGATGGAGTCTACCAAGGCGATGGGTTTCATCAAGGTGCCAATGTTGTGAGTTTGGGTTTGTCATGGGAGGTGGTATCTAGTCTTGTCTGCCCTGTTTGCTGCAGGAGCTGAGGACATTGCGCGGCACTCGTCAATCACTGACAGAGCAAGGGTTCCCTCCCCTGCACTACTTCTTCCTCACGGTGAGCAGGGCAGGGGAAGGCCGGCCGCGCTCACCCCGTCATTCGTTCTTCTCGCTTCGATGTGTGCAGTGGCTGATGACGTGTATGGTTTTCACATTTCTCTACGAAGCCGCTCTTGCCGGCCCATCTGCCGCGGCCATCACGCGCCCCACTTTTGTGGCGCTGATGGGGGGCATAACGTGGATCGCTGAGCTCGTGGTCGAGCTAAGCGATCCTTTCAGCGGCCTCTACAACCAGAACGTGCTGGTGAGGAAGAAGAGGAGAGGCCGGAGAGACAGAAGCGTGCGTACGCAGTCGGTGTGTATGTGCGTGTGTGTGTGGACAATGTCAGGTTGGCGCAAACAAGACGCTTTCGCTGCTGCAGGCGCTTCTGAGGAGGAAGCCGCCGCGGGAGGCGGAGGAGCAGTAGCCGTAAGTATGCAGTGCAGTGTCGGTGGCTGCCACGCCATGTAGATAGGAAGCTATGAACGAACGGTCAGTGAGCGAACACTTGAGCTTGTGCATATAGATAGATAATATTATAGGCTGCCTGGCTGGCTGAGCGAAGACAGGGTCAAGCTGCTACTTGCCGTGAGTGAGCATTTCTGTGTCCCAAAGGAGAGGAGCTACGCTGCGTCATGCAGCCGTACACACAGCGTCAATGAGCAATGAGGAGTGAGGCATGCAGTGCTCATACCAATATGCGAAAAAAGAGACACGCTACTGTTTACCGAGGTCAAGCTCACTGAATAAATCAATGACACGCAGGCTACCCAGAAAGCGTGAGAGACACAGACCAGCTACCAAAGGGCACGCCTCACTTGGTTAAAGCAGCCCGCCAGTCTTTTTTGTCGCCAGCGCCCTGGCAGTCGACTCGAGCCTCTTAAGAGTTACGCCGTGCTCATCCAACACACAATCGATGCTCTCCAGCTGAGAACGAACATCTGACGGACAAACGACAAGACACGCGACAGATGAGACACGGATGGACAAGCGTGATTGTACCCCTCTCACCGTCAGCAAGCGAGACAGCATAATGCTTCGCAATAGCGTCGATTTCCTTCATCATTTCCCCAGCCACGGAGGCCAGCGCCGCAGCTACGCTGCCGCTTTCCAGGCCAGCCACAAAGCTGCGCCATCTGTCGCTCTCCCCTCTGACTTCCCTCACAGGCAGCACCATGCTGCCCCTCCCACCACTGCCGGCCGCCATCGCCGGCCCGAAGCTTGTCTTCCTGACACTCTCCCGCCGAGGAACGGGCTGATACCGCCCGAAGTAACCACTACGTGGTCCAGACGAGGCAGACTGACTGTTGTCTGCTGGACCAGGCTCCTGCATTCCACCAGAGCGGTAAGACATGGCGCATGAACGGCAGAGGTGTCTCTGTGTGCTTACGCCTTGCTCCAAGTCGCCGTGAAAGCGCACAGTGGATGCGGCACGAGCGAAGGGAGCTGAGGTGCGTGGTGGAACGTCCTCGCCGTTCGAGGGGCCAAAGAGACGGAACTCTGAGGTGCGTCTTCCGTTTGGGGGTTTCCCAGAAGCACATTCAGCTGCTGACTGATGCCGGTGTCGAGTGCTTCTAGCGCCTCTGAAGTCTCCAGGTCTACATCTGACGCTGTCTTGGCCGCATTTGACGACGACTGGCTCTCGAGCTTCTGGTGTCTTCTTGCCGAGTTCTTCTTCCAAATTGTCGCCGCCTTCTTTGCTGACCAGAGCTGGCCGATAGACGCGATCTGATCTGATGATTCATGGACAAGAGAGACATAACGGTTGCGTTCGTGGCTGGCGGGTGAATTCGCCATTGTTGGCACCTGTCGTTGACCGCTTGAGCTCATATTCTTCTTTCCATCGCGTGAATGGGCTCCAAAGGGGGCGAGAAATGCTCCAAAGATGCTCACCTAGACTTGCGATGGCACCCTTCGGCCCTCCGCGAGTGTGCGGCTTTTCTAAGCCAAACCAAGAGCACATAAGATCCACATCACGAAACTTTCACGTCGACTGCCATGTACCTTCTTGCCCAGAGTCCACCGTCGTCGCCATTCCGAGCCACGTCGCTGCAGAGAGAAGCGCAGGATTACGACAGGTGAGCAATTTACGAGCCAGATTCCATGGCCTACTTCTCTTGGTCAATGGCATTCCCGACGCCTTGTTGCTGTCCGCCCTCTCCTGGTAGTTTTCGTATTTCTCGACAAGGGCGGGGAAATGTTCGAGTGAAGAGAGGACGTCTGCCCTATACACAAAGGGACACTGACGTCTGTCAGTCAGATCTCTGCAACATGGCAAAGCTAGATCCGCGTCTACCTGTCAACCACGAGAATATTGCAAAACGTCCTACAAGAGAGAAACAAACGGTCGAGAACGAGATTGCCCTTCTTCATTTGTAAAATGTGTGCTTCCAACCTGCACACACAGAGACTGCTCCGAGCAGTCTCGTCAAAAAGCGATGCCTCGTTGAAGTAGGACCCGCTGCAGAACAGCAACAGCACCAGCAGAAGCCTATGTTGGCGATCTGTGCCGTCCCTTGTTGCTTGTATCTCACGTCATGCGTATGCCCGCGTCTCCCTTGAGAAATGCGTCGCTGTCGGTCGGCGCACACAGCTGGACACGACCGCTGATCACAAAGTACATTTCGGTCATGAGCTGGCCAGCCTGGCAAACAACGTCGCCCGGCGCGAACGATATCATGTGGCACTTCATGGCAACCTGCGGCCACGAAGACATACGACCAATCAATCTCTCCCTCGACCATCCTTTTCTATGTGCGACTACCTGGCGCAGGAACCTCTTGCCAAGTTCGGCAAAGAGCGGAAATCGTGTCAGCACCCGACCTACCAGTGCCATGGCCATCTCCTGAAGAATTTGAACGAGACACCATGACGGCCTGAATGCTTCATATGTTTCTCCCTCCGTGTCTCACGGTTTTGAGCGACGGCGACAGCAGCTCTAGTACGTCAGCGACACCATCTGCACGGTGGCTGTGCGTCAACACGAACTCTAAGTACCGCTTCACCTGACAAATTAAAGTCGATGAGACACGGCGTGCTCCTTGCCTGGCTTCTGTCTCACCTTGTATTTGAGGAATCTTGGGCAGTTATGTGCGTTCATGTACTTGACTATCCTCTTGATCATGCTGTAGTTGGCCTTGGTCTCCTCATTCGCGCGATTCGCTACCGTTGTCAAGTTGCCTGCATGTAAAGCCGCCAAGACAGAGGATAAATGGCTGCAAACGCATGATGCTGCGGCATCCCTCGGCTCCTTCCTTTACCTACGACCATGGCAAACGTCCCGCAGGCCATGACCATCAAGACGTTGGCATAGATGCGCTCATACTGAATGCAGACGCAGCCATGCACGGACATCATCGCTCTCTGTCACTGATTCGCGTTGCTCACCGTGTTGGTCGGCACAACGTCTCCAAGTCCGACCGTTGCTACCGTGGTCAGCGTCCAGTACACTGAAGCGACATACTGATCTACGATAGGCTGACACACGGCAGACGAGAAACGCCGAGTCCAATGCGAGTCATTGCGAGATGCGACCGATGTCGCTTCTTCTACACACTTTGTCACGGAAATGGAATTTGATAAGCCACGAGGTGTTTTCTCCTGGGTCGGCACTCTTGTCGCTATCAAACCGCCGCTCGCTCATCCGACCAATGGCGAAGAAGCAGCACGCACTCTGAAAACGACACACCAGCTCACATTCACCAAGTGTAAAGCCACGGCTGATCAGGCGTCTCATGTTGTCGTGTTACTCACCCAGTGCGCAAGAAAGACGATGATGCATCCCAGCTTGAGGGCTTCAAAGGCGACGGACAGAGCGTCCCAGTTGAGATGCTCCTCTATCTTGAAAAGCAGCCGGTTCAACTTGAGAACCCGCAACAGTCTCAAGACACGGAACATCTTGGCGAAACGCAGGAAGCGGAGCAGCCTGGGGGCTGACAACGCAGAGTTGGCCCCGCCCCCCGACGCGAGGCCGTACACGAACTCGTATGGGAACGATGCGGGGGTGTCGACGAGACACCACCCGAGGCTGTACGTGTAGGCTGATCAATACGACAGAGGATCGAGCTCATGTGTAGATTGCGTCTGTAGGAAATTCTGTCACCTATTTTTCGCTGCTTCATGATGAGATGTCCCTTGTCGTAATAACCTGCACACACAACCAGGGAGGCGGCCATGGTTGACCCACAGCATGAAACAAAGTCCCCATCCTTTGACCGGTGACAAAGTTCAGGAAGATGTCTGCAATGGGGAAGAAGGGAAGGCACGATTCAAGAGCCAGAGAAATCTTCATGTGTGTCCCCGACCGACCGACCAGAGATGAAGAACGAATCCACAAACCACTCCCAAACATACCAGCCACCTGGGAGACATACACACCATCCACCGATCAGCAATGCCTATCTGATCCGCATTCGCCGACCTGTGGGCGTGACACTGAATGACAGCAGGAAGGGGATCATCAGTGTCTGGTAGAGGATGAACACCACCCCAACCAGGTCCCACACCACGCGAAAGGTCGAATCTGGCGAGATGATCAGAAAGTGAGAGGGAATGGCCAAACGAGCCTGCATTGCAAAGACGATGGAAATCGCACATGCAAGCAGGGGCGGGCATCTGGCAGCGGATTCACCTTCTCCAGATCAGGGGATTCCAAAGACGAGAATGCATTCTCGTTGATCTCGATTTCGATGTTCTCCTGGATGAGGTCCTCCATCATGCTTCTCTCCTCAAACGTGGTGGAGCTTCGGAAGGGTGATTTGGGCTCATCGCCCGATGCGCCAACTCCGCTTTTCTCCATCGAGACGGTCGGTGCGAACTTGAACTTGAAGCTGCAATGGGGGCAGCCCCCATCAATGCAACTAAGACTGCCAGACGGAAGATCTGGAAGATATTCCTCCAGATGTCCTCGTTCCCTTCCGACTCCCCTCGCACTCGATCCATATCTGCGGGTGCGCCCCTGCCGCCATTGGAACATGGCGATGTCAAGGATGCGTCGGGTGAGAGCGCGGTCCCTGTGGATAGCATTGCGGCGTTCGAGCGTGGTGTAGAGTCGCTGAGGAAGGCAATAGAGGAGGTGGAGCAGCTGACCAGACAAGTCGGCACCAAACGAGATACGGTATCCATCCCATACAGACCCAATACAGACACATTGATCTGGAATGGATCTGCATGGATGGATGGATGGACGGATGGATGGATGGTTTGTGCATCAGGATGGTTTCCGCAAACATCTGCAGCAGGCAGGCCGCCACACACACACACACTGCAATCAATGTGCTCTTTGTACTTCGGTAGAGTCGTGATGAGTGCCGTCGGCGATGCCGGCTGGCGCATTCTGCGTTCCGCAGCCTTCAGCCCAACGTCAGGGAGAAGAGCAAAGCCAAGGCCGCGTGCAGAAGCTACACACGCGTGAGTGAGAGGGGCGGGGCGGGGCGGGGCCGTCATGTGTTTGTCCCTCCCTTGGAATGCAGCTGTTGCGCCGCTACGACCGCCTGTGGAGGGGATCCGTGCACAAGGAGGAGCGGGAAATCAGGAGGCTCAGCCATTCATCATCGATACTATCAAGATGTACTTACATACAAAAAAGAAACATTAACACCGATATTTCTCACCCCCACATGTCATTCTGTTTCGTCAGCGTCTCGTAGCGGTAGCATCTTGTCGAGTTTTGTCAGCGGTGGGGCGTCCGCCGCGGCCACGGGAGCCGGTGGGTCCCTGCAGAGCATCCGGGTAGAGGACTCTGACAGCCTACAAGTGCGCATGAAATGCAGACCTACGCCTCACACCTGTGGATGTGTCATATGTGTGTGTGCACATACACATGGGTGCAGGTGTCAGTGCTGCGTTGGCGGCACGAGGAGTTGTCGCGTCTGCAGGAGGACATGCAGGATCTCAAACAGCTATTCAGGGACGTCGAGATGCTGGTGGGTAGCCTGTGTCACGCCGAACATTCGCGAAAATCCACTGCATATGGTGGTGTGTGTAGGTGCAGTCCCAGCAGGCGGGGCTGGACATGGCCGAGCACCACCTCGCACCGGCGTCTGCTGAGGTGGAGAGGGGCCACACAGCCCTCATCATGGTCAGGCAGTCAGCACAATTGCAGCAAAGCATTCGTGTCAATGTCATGCTGTGTCTCGTCCTTTCCCCATCTGCTATGCAGGGTGATCAGTACCGCCGGTCACGGCGTCGGCGGTGTGGGTGTTTCATATGCATGGGGATACTGCTCATACTAGTGGGGCTGTGTGTCGCTGTCATTCTCGCACTCAAATACACACATAGGAGTCAGGGATAGGGAAGCCGAAGACGAGACGATTGTGTGTGTCTGCCGAGACCTTCTTTGCCAGCGGACACACACACACTGCACATTCTGACTGACCATGAGTTGCGCATAATCCATTAGTCCGCATGGTTCACAAAGCATACAGTGTCACAGTAAAAAGTGTCTGTTGATTCATCAACTCGTGAGATGCAGGGGTGATCCTTATCTCTATGTTGGGCGTGAAGAGGTTTATTGACATGAAGAAGGGTCCATCCCTCGAAAGAATCCCTCATCACTGCTGCATTTCCCAATCCAAAATGAACATGAGTATCAACCAAAGCACACGTACACGCACACACACACACAGACACACACCCCGACGCCAGATGACTACACCAACTCCATACTGCCATGGCGCATGCAGCCAACACACACTGTCCACCTGTCTGTCTGCCGCACTCTTGCACCCTTCGGGAGAGAGCGCAGGCATGAATCATGGACATCTTCACTTCTTGCTTGGGCTGTTGCTGCTGGTTGTTGGCCCGCGTCAGGATTTCGCCTTGACTGGCTCGGCTGGGACGAACTTCATCGACGCCGCATTCATGCAGTACCGCTTCTTGAGGGGAGGCGGGCCGTCGTCGAACACATGGCCGAGATGTGCTCCGCTCTTGGCGTCCAACACCTCGGTGCGCCGTTCGAAAGGCCCAAACGCCATATCTGCACGCACAAGCATCCATCCACAACACACGCGCCGCACATGCACACACAGGGTAAGCAGGTAGTGTGTCATGCCTAACCTTTTGGGTCCTTTCTTTCGATGACATGCATGGGGTCGACTGGCTTGAGGAATGACAACCATCCTGTGCCGCTGTCATACTTGTCGTCGGACGAAAACAGCGGCAGACCACTTATCGCGCCAACCCACATGCCCTCTACACACATATACACCCAAACATACGATCATCGGTCGCTCGTGAGCGGGGCTACCTGTGCCTGCTCACTTTCTTTTGTGTTCCACTTGTATCCGTTGACGGTCTCGCCGGTGAATGCCATCTCAGTGCCGGCCTTCAGGTTGATCTGAAGGAAGGAGTGAGCCGACAGGAACAGATACGACACTCCACCACTCACCATGCACAGGTCCCTCCCTGCCTCCCTCCCTCCCTCCCTCGTGTCTGTCCGTCTTACACACGTACATCGTACTGCTTCGATGTCAGCCCCTGCGCCGCCTTCTGAACCTCCTCGTCTGTCATCGGCGTGACGTCATACCTGCATCATCACGACGTGTACGCTTGATAGAAAGCCGTGCATTCCATCGGCCTATGCTCATACATTCGACTCACCCCGATTTTGATATTTTCGGTTGCGCCAGCAGCGCCGCATCCGCATGTCCCACACTCATTCTCGATGTGTCGGTGAGAATCTCGCTGAAGCTCCACGATGATGATGTCGGTGTTGTCTGCCTCACAGGAGCAGCGGCAGGGCGGACCTCTGCTGGTGGATGAGGGACGTCGAGCGGCACCTGAAATGCGTCGCAGGCTACCTGCTTCAGCCACATAAAGAGGCGACATCCTGTCAAGAAGGCGGCGAGTCGGAATTCCTTGACAAATGACCATACATTACATACCAAGAGGAAGGTGAGGAGGAGCGGTGCGAAGGCCAACATGTTCGGGGGAGACAAAGCTCGCAACCCGAGAAACCCTGAAATCCCAAACCCTGCAGATCTGGTCGCCTCCGACATTGTTTCTTCGCAAGACGGAGATGAATCAGTAGGGAGTGAGCGATGCTGTTCGACGCCCACTGCCATCTGCAGCTGCCGAAGCTGCAGCCGATGGTGCGCGAGTGCGTGGAGGCGGCTCTGCGTCATCGTGTGCCCAAGATGGTGTGCAACGGGTGCTGCCCTGACGACTGGGGCCGCGTGCTGCAGCTGGCGGATGAGTTCCCTCATGCCATCTACCCATCCATCGGAGTGCACCCTTGGTACCACACGTATGTCGTGTTGGTGTGCCTGTGTGTTTCTTCTCCATGCGTGTTGTTGTGTCAGGTGGGTGGAGGAGAGCATTGGAGGCGACTGGCGCGGCCAGCTGTCAGCCCATCTCCAGTGAGTGAGGCATCGGCCATTCACTGAGACAGTCACCCAGACAGCCTTGTTCAATGCAGGCAGCGTCCTCGACTGTGTATTGGCGAATGCGGCCTCGACAAAGCCAGAAGAGGCAACAAGTACGTGTGTGAATGAACAGTCCAGCATATTTTCTCACTCTGTTTGTGTGCGCGTGCGCGTGCAGGTCGTTGTGGGATGTGCAGCAAGATGTGTTGCGGCAGCACCTCGAGTTGGCGTCGAATGAACAGCGGCCCGTGTCATTGCACTGCGTGCAGGCCTACGGGAGCCTCCTGGAGCAGCTCAAGGCGCACCTCAGACCCCTCCCCTTCACACCTGGCATCGTGCTGCACTCATTCGCTGGGCCGCCAGGTTGGCAGCTGGCGTGGGGATGTGTGTGTCGGGGGCCCTCTGTCATTTCCTTGCCCGCTTGGTACCTTCAGAGATGGTGCCCGACTTTGCGCGGCTCAACTGCTACTTTTCGTTCTCCTCACTAGTTCTCCACAGTGACAAGGTGAGCGAGGCCTATCGGTGGTGACTCCATGCTGATGCTGGTCTCTGTCCGCCTTTTCAGGTCGTTCGCTCGCTGCAGGCCGTCCCGCTGGACCGCCTTCTCATTGAGACGGACTCACCCGATCAGCTGCCGCAAAGATTGACGATCCCTCTGGCTGCGGAGCCGACACAAGATGCGACCTTTCAGACAGTCGAGGCAGATGGAATGGAAGGCCGCGCGCCGGTGCGGTATGTGCGCAGTGAGAGTGATGGTTCATGGGTTGCTGTGAATGAGCCATGTCATTTGGGGTGGGTGTGTGAGGGGGTTGCCAAGTGCCTGGGGCGGCCTGTGGATGAGATCCGACAGCTGACCTATGACAATGCTGTGCGTGTGTTTGATGGACCGTGGACATGAGGGCGCTTTTATATATATGTGTGTGTGTGTGTGTGTTTCCAGTTCGTCACTAGTTCATTTCGTCACGACAGACAAGAGCACCGGGGTCTCAGGGAAGAAGACAAAAGCATTTCTGTCAATGACTCTGCACAGATCCATACTAGAAAACAACGGTGCCTCCCCATCAGCAGAGGGCCTCACAGTAGATTGCACAAGCGCATCGGTCGACCGAGTCAGATGGCAACCTGCACACGAACACGCAAGACCATAGAAGTCATCCACGCAGGTACTTTTCTCAGCCTGGCTTGCTTACCAATGAGGCCAGCTTGGATGGGAGTGACGGCATTTTGCACCGCACGCAAGCCAGTCCCCTCACGTGCTGCAATGTGCTCGATCATGATCATCTTGCCTCCAGGCCGCAACACTCTACATACACGCACACCACAAAGGCATTGATAGCATTGCTTGCGCCCTCCCTCTCTCTCATTGACGCACCTGGACGCTTCCCGAAAGACCTGCGGTGGATCATCGACAGAACAGAGAGTGAAGCTGCAGACCACTGCATCGAACGACCCATCTGGGAACGGGAGGGCCTCTGCCTTCCCATCCATGACGTCCAGAGTGACGCCATGCTCGGCAGCGCTTCGCTTCATCGTATCCGCCTCCCTCAAGCTGACCCTCCGCTTGTCCAGGCCCGTCACACGCAGGCCGCCTGTCCGCTCAGCAATCTCGGTGTAGAAGTCTTGGTTTGCATTGCGCCCGAAGCCGATCTCCAGGATGTCCCTGACTCCTGACGAAGGCCTGATGGCTGAGAAAAGCTCCTGCTTGAGCACGTCATTGTCTTGCTGAATGGTCTTCAGGTTGGAAGCCACCCATAGCGCCTCTGCAGCAGCCCCGAAGGCCACGGCGATGGCTGCCCGACGAGATGAGGTGACGAGTGGCGCAACCGTCGATGAGTGGCCACATAAGGCGGATCTCACACGGGATCTCGATAGCAGATGTGCTCGCGGCCGTAGGGGTGGCAGGAAGCACGGTGCTGCATGGGCGAGGGGGAAGATGAGCAAGCAGATCACATCACTGAGGATCACCATAAGTAAAATGCGCTTCCATTGACACAACTCACGCTCTGACGCGCCGACATTCTCATGACGCGTTTTCTGCAGGAGGTCTCCGAGCTTAGCCAAACCCTCGACCCGAACCCTGTGGTTCGTTCGGTCGTTCGTTCGCTCGTTCGCACACCTCCCGGCCCCTGAGGGCCGTCGAGAAACGGTCCCCCTCCTCTTTCCCCTCGTCGGGAGGCCGAGAGCTGATTCATTGAATCAACGACGGCCCATTTTCCGCCATTTTGTCCTTGGCGCCGTCTCCGTCCGCGTGAGCGCTTCTTCCAGCTTCTGTGGCTGGTAAGCAATGCACACGCATTGTACAAGAGACCACCTCACACGCGATTCCGGTTTCTTGTACGTTTTTCTTTCCCCTTTCCGCTAGCCTTTCCGGTTGCATAGACAGCCGTGTGGGGCCTCTGTGGTGGTGCTGGTTCGGTACTGTGGCCGGGGCGCGGCACAGAGCTTGCATCGTGTTCATCGTCACACGAAGTCAGGTGGGGCAGACAGGGCACGTGGCAGGCATACAAGCATCAACGTCAGTGTGACTATCTGTGATCGTCAGTGTGGGTTTCCACATGCATCATCATGATGGCGGCAGAGAGCTCATCATCTTCCGACCCAAGTTCCTCCGTAGCTCTTCCCAAGCATTGGGTACGACCGAAGCAAGTTGGCATGTACTGGCGGAGTCCGGCCCGCTGCCAAGCCACCACCTCCCTACGGTACTGGCGGTCGGGGTTTTCTTCTTCTCTCTACCATGAAGGGTCCCTACAGAATGGACAGCTGTGGGAGGGCATTCTTCATCGCACTCTCACAAGCGGGCAGGAAGTGGTGCAGCTGGTCGAGCATGGAGCCAACCTCAATCGGAGGCCGTGCTTGGAGCTGAAGGGCAGTCAGAACGAGGGCTACCGATACCCGCTTCTCGCACTTTGCATCGATAATATGACAAGCTACACTGTGCCGAACATCTGGGCCAAGGGGGGCAAGGCTGAAGATGAGGTCGATGAATTTCCCATCGGCTTGGCGAGGTGGCCCACCGTCGAGCTCCAGGAGGAGATTATGCGCACTCTCTTGGAGCTTGGGGCCGACCCCAGAGGGCCGGTCGGCGTCAGCTCACTGATGTCGCCCATGCATGTGGCCATCGCGTCGGGCAATGACAGGGCTCTCAACATTCTGCTAGGCCGATACATAGAGCTGACTGGTCGGGAGACACTGGCGGTGCCGCGCACATTGCCGACGGACCAGCCGACTAAGGCTTACGATGACTGGCTGCTCGCAACCTTTCACCGAAATGTCACCCGTGACTCTGCACTCGCCACAGAAGACGACGTACTGCATTTGGCGGCCCGCACCAACAACGCCTTCTTCCAGAGATTCATCGACCTCTTCCTCAATTTGATGGAGACCCATCAAGTGGACATCACGGAGAAGGACGAGAATGGGCAGACGCCATTGTACTGTGCGGCTGATTCTGGCTCTCACCGTTTCGCTGATGCTCTGTGCTACCGTCTAGCCGTTGCGGACATCAACGTGGAGACGCAGCACGGGACCCCCCTCGCTGCTGCAGCTGGTAAGCTGGAGAACTACACTGCTGCTGCAGCTCGTAAGCTGGACGACGACGCCCTGAACCCAATTCCTTGCTACAAGCGCACCATCCAGGTGCTGCTGAGAGCTGGTGCTGACATCTCTCGGCTGCCCGCACGCAGCGAGGTCGTGTTGGCCGAGTACGTGAAGGTGCTCAATGAGCTGCCCAACGACGTCATGTCGGCCATCAATGCCGCCCTACGCCCTCATCGCAGCTTTGCGGCCCTCCTCACCCACCTGCTGAAGCTCGACCCTCTCGCATTCGGGCCGCAGGAGGCGACATTCATCGCCTGGCGCATATCCGCCCTGTGCTGGGATGAAGACAAGGCCTACGACGCCCTCTCGGCGTACACTTCCCTCTCGGCTGTCAACCTGCGAGCCCACAGTGTGCTGGGCGGCCGAGTGCACGCAGCGATGCGGCACTTCATCGCATCGGCCGTCACGCGTGCCACCAGCAACAGGGAGGTGGTCGGAGGGACGCTGCCAGTGCAGCAGCGGAATGAAGCTGAGGATGATCAAGGGGCCAAGCGCGCCAAGGTGGCCGTGCCGCCCATGCAGTGCTTCGCTGTAGATGAAGGACGGCAAGACGGGCCGCACCGCCGGCTGGGTGTGCGTGAGGTGGTGCATCGTGCTCGGCTGGACAAGGTGGCCAAGCATAAGCTGACCGGTGTGGAGAAGGGCTTCAACACACACCTCGGCAATCAGGACTGCCAATTTCAATGGGGCCAGCTGGGCCACATCGACGGCAAGGGGCGATTTCAGCCGCTGGCGACGGAGCCATTCGACGATCTTGATGTTGAGGCATCGGAGGAGAGCGATGATGACGATGATGATGGCGGGGCGTCGGGGAGTGGCGGGGCGTCGGGGAGTGGGGGCGATTATGTTGACATCGATGTCTAGGTGCGCGGTCGAGGACATCGATGTCTAAGTGCGCGGTCGAGGAGACAGAGACATGAAGACTGACTGCTTTAGTGATAGACTGACTGCGAGGGAGAGGGGAACAGCATCTTTTGGTCGCTCGCCTTTGCTGGCTGGCCCTGATGCATGGGGGGTTGTTTTGACTGTTTGGATGCAGAATCAAGTGCGGGAACTTAGATGTCTCCCTGTATGTGAGTGAATGTGCAGCGACGCGACTTCCTCTCTTGATCAATCAAGTCTGTCTCTTTACTTCTTGTGCGTATGAATGAATTGGGATGGACTGCGGCTGAAATGACAAAGGCAATAAAACCTGTCAGCCGCGATTACCGGTGTATATGGAGGATTCATGGCAATCGGTCAATCCTTTGACACGCACTGTAAACCCAAAACTGGAAACAGGGTCGAAAAAATACCCACGTGTCTCTCCCTCACACCCAACAAATCAGCCATTGTCGGCGCAGGTGGTCCATGGACACGAGACAGGCTAGACCTCTCTGTCACTCTCTCCTATCCCTGTCGGCGGCGCTGCTGCCCCGGCAGCCGCTTCCTAAGGCAATGGCTGAAAGATATCCCACGCCACACAGTACCTGCTAGGCACAAAGACACACAGAAACACACACACACACACACACGCAAGACAGACTGACCACAGGGAGACACAGCCACACTGCGCAGTCCAGCACCTGCGCACTCACCTAGTGATGGCCTCATTCATGAAGGCCACGTCTTTGATGTCGAAGAACCGCGCCGACGACGGCTCCTTCTCCCTTATCACTGCCACGCCGCTCTCCACCGCCTCCCGGCGACATCTCTCGCGCAGTTGCCGCATCAACTGCTGGTAACTGCGTTTTCGCTCCCTGTAGAGCGCCCTATACGACGCTGCTTGGCCTGTCTTGCGCACGTTGACCACTGTGTCGGCAACGGCCTTTGGGGAAGCGTCACGGTCAGATGCCACGATGTAGCCTTGTGTCGAGCTCGCTGAAGAAGGAACAGAGACGATCACCACAGAGGGCGTTTGAATCGGTTACTCCTCACCTCTGTTTGGTTGCTGGTCGACGAGCTCGAGACCCAAGTCACTATCGAGGTGGGAGGAGGAGGAGGGTTCTGCTGTCGACGCGCTGAAGATGGACGACCGGCGATCGTCACGGCCGCCAGACGGCTCTTTGACGTTCTTGGACTCATTCGCCAAACTCCGGGCCACGTTCGCCGACTCGATCTTGCTCAGGGCATCGAGCAGACAGCATCTCGCCTTCGCAAAATCCTCTCCTGCACGACCACATGCATCATTCATCACGCTTCCCGTGCGTGTGTGCAGATGAGAGAGGGCTTACGTGTCATGCGGTTTGCGAGTAGTTTTCTGGAGCCGAGGTGGACGACCTCCGAGAAGGGGTCGTCGAAGAGCTCTGGCTTGACGGCAAACACAAGGAGCTTGACGATGAAGGCCTTGAGGCTCAGCCCCTCCTGGTCGAAGAGGGAGGCCATCTTGGGTGCGCTGCGACGAATCTCAACCGCACACCGCGCCATCAAGCTTGTGAAGAAGTCACCTGCAACAGACCGTTTGCATGTGCGTGTTCGTTGAACTTCGTTCCCCCTGGCTGTCATCTCACCCGAGGCGCTCAGGCATCTCAGTTTGTCCATCAGGTGTTCAGGCATCTCCACCGCAGGCTTCAGGAGGAAGATATTTCCCTCATAGAAGAGCGGGTCGACGCGACGCCCCTTCTTCTCTTGAGACGTCTTGGACTTGCTGCCGTCATCGGCGACGAACCCAACGAAGGCCGTGAGCGGTGTCGATGTGAATTTGCTGCGGTAGAGTTTGCCACAGGGGCACCTCTGTGGCTGCGCAGGCCCGAACATCACCGCGTCCGCGGCATCCAGATCTATCATCTGCAAGTCCATGATGGACGAGGTGAATGAGAATGCCCCCCAGAGTCGAGATTGAGGCCCCAATTTGAAGGTCCATCCCCTCCCACTGGAGTACTCCCTTGTCAGGTCACGCACACCCGGAAAAAGGCATTCGAAACATGGCTGTAAGCACACATGAGCGATAGCAAGAGACACGTACAAAAGCACAAAAATACTCGTAGGTAAGGAAGGCCACGACAGGGCAGACAATAAGATGGACGGGGCCTCCTTGAGGCATCCACGCGTCCATCCATGATGATGATCGATCGACCGGTCGATTAATGTCTCGATCCCTTCACGACAGAAAAGGCTGTATATATTCCATGTATCTCTTAAGCACGCCACCCACCCTTGACTGGTCAGTCGCATATTACGCCCAGCCAGCCACCAACAGACAGACTGATGGCTCTTGAAGCCATATCAACTGCACTGCCGTCAAGGGAAGTCCAGTGCGTGGACGGCTGCACTCTTCATCAAAAAGAGTGGCCGAGCAGGGGCAACACAAGACAAGACAAGACAAGAGTGCCCCCGCTGGGCCAGGCATCACCAGCCGACTAGCTCCACAGCTCCTCCACCCACCGATGCTCTGATGCACACACACCACACAACACGTGCAGATTGGTGACATCTGCCCGTGTGTCTTGCTGTACCACTCACTCACCGTGTTTGAGTGTGTCAACGAAGCCCTCGCCCATGATGTTGTTGAGCGCGTCAATCACCGACCGACCCATCGCCGTCGCACCGCACACGAACACGTATCCCCCGTTGTTGAGGATGGTCTTGACCATGCCCTGCTCCTCCTTGAGCTTGTGCTGCACGTACACCTTGTGCGTCTGCTCGCGAGAGAAGGCGCACACCAGGTGCGTCAGCACTGTTTCCCTCTGGGCTGCCGCGGACTCCATCTCATCTCGATACACCCAATCCTGAACTCACACATAGGGACAGAGGGGGCGTGTTCACGGTAGACAGCACCGCATTCCTTTCTCCCTCTCCCTCTCGCTCTGTGTGTGTGTGTGTGTGTGTGCTGGCGGACCTTCTGTGAGTGTGTGCAGCCGAAGAAGAGCGCCGTTTCTCCTCTCGGTCGGTTCTCGTAGGCAAACTCGCGCCAGAAACCCCTGAACGGTGCGATGCCTGCACAGACGAATGAAACAGGAACCGCCAATATGCAGCAGACTTTCTCTATCTCTGCGTGCGTGTGTGTGGCTGCATACATACCTGTTCCCGCGCCGACCATGATGATGGGCGTCGATGGCTCGGCAGGCAGCCGGAAGGTCGATGGCTTCACCTGCACACCAAAACACCACACAGGATGAGGATGAAGGTGTGCTGTGTGCCCCAGCCCGTTGCTGTGTTGGCGCGCTGCGTACCCCGACGAGCAGCTTGTGTTGTTTTGCGAGTCGCCTGCAGAGGAACGTGGAGCAGATGCCCTCAAAACGCCGCGGCCGCTCGCCAATCTCACGAGCAGCATCGTCACTCACAGACACTGCGTAACCTGCACACACACACACACCATTAGTGTTTCTCTCTCTCTCTCTCTCTCTGTGTGTGTGTGTGTGTGTGTGATTGACCGTGTTCTCTGAGTTTCATAATGGTGGTTGTGAGCGGTTTGAGGTCGTGGCTGACGATGCTGACGGTCACCGACACGCACCGGGAGAACTCCTGCACACACACAGAGGTGGCGAGGGGCCAATGGAATGATGTGTCGTGTGTGTTGTGGTGGCCTACCTTTGACGATGACGAAATGGTGTATGGCCTGGGGCGGTTGCGCGTCACCAGCTGCAGAAACGCACCTAAGACATACGCACACATACGCACAGAGAGACCCATGCCATTTTTGCCACTTGTGTAATGGTCTTTTGATCGCTTTAGTTTGTCACCTTACCCAGGTCGAATTTGGCCGAGGTCATGAAGAGCTCCACGAACTCCTTCAGCGTCATTTCCAAATCCTTCACCTGTGTTCAGTGCACAGCCCCCACACACGCACTGCAGTCACACCTGTGTGGCGTTGTTCCTTTCTCCCACCCAGGGTTGCCTGTGCTAACTGACCAGGTGTTTGAAGTCGTCCTTGTGGTGCTCCGACAGCAGCTGCTCGAGTGATGACAACTCGTTCGCGTCGGTCACGAAACACGCCAAATCCTGACAGGCACACACAGCGGGCGGACACACACAAGGCAGGCATGTATTCGCCAGGCACCACAGGGCCTTCTGTCTCACCTTGAGTGCCGACTTCTGCGGCAGGGCAGCCAGGTCGCAGTAGCGCGTCAGGGCATCCTGACCAACCAAACCATGACAGAGACACACTTACATGGACAAGCACTCACTCAGTCGACTGCCTTCCTGTGCTGTGTGGGCGTACCCGCAGTGTGCATGGGGTGGGGAACGGCCGCTTGTGGCTGTCCTCGTCGCCTGATGACCCACACACACACATACAGACAGGGAGGGCCCAGGGGGAGGATGGCAGGCAGGCAGGATGAATGGATGGACGTCTGTGCGTGTCCCATGCAAGTATTCCAGGCTGCGAGTGGTCGTGTGTCTTTCTCATGCAGCCCGTTTAGATGTGCCATGGCGCTGTGCATGCTGTCTGCCCGCCTTAGCACCGCACACTCAGCCGATCCCGTCGTGTGTGGTGACTCTGGAGGCACTCACTCACTGCACTCACTACCCCACACCCTCCCCCGCCCACCCACCTGCTGCCGGTGTGAGGTGTATGTAGTAGTCGAGGGCAGCGGCGTGCTGGCCCTTCACACCCAGCCGCTCGGCGAACCATTGCACCTGACACAGAGAAACAGAGAAGGAGAGAGCTGCCGCGGGCAGGCAGACGGCCTACACATAAACCCCGCTCGTTGACTCACCAGTTCTGGCGGGTTCTCTGGGAGTATGTCGAGGTTGTCAGCCGTGACGTACGACAGCTCAGGACACCCGGATATGTCCACCTCCTGCACACACACAGACGAGCACACATAGACACATGAATAAGTGAATTTGTGGAAACGTACCACATGGTGGGTGCTGAGGCCCTCCTCAGGGTCGGGCTGCTGCCTCAGCTCGCGGTCGACAACCACCGTCGCCTCGTGGCTGTGGAAGTAGAATCGGCTCGCCAAGTCCACACCCGTCATCTGCACCAGCACAACGGACACACAACAGGAACCACACAAACGAGAAGACGTCAACAGTCCGCTTGTCGACTGTGCCTTTTCCATTGCTGCGTGCCTGTGGCTGGTGGGTGGCATCAAACTCAGCTGTCGTGGGTGCGATCGACAACTCAAGCGGGGCCCGCTCTGCCATACGCGCACACACAGAGACCAGTGCATGCCGCCCTGGACTCTCTCTCTCTCTGTCAGTGTGTGGGTCACTCACTCTTCCAAGCGTCCTTGTGGTCGTGTATATCGTCGAGCGTCTTGGAAGCCGCCCGCACCAGCTCGGCGGCGTTGAGCTCCTCGCCCTTGTCAGCGGCGCGCGCCTTGATGAGTGCCGGCCAGAAGAGGTCCTGCCACGCGCTGAAGTCGCTCTCGATGTCCTGGTCGTCGTCACCCATACCACTTAACACACACACACACACACACACGGATGCAGACGGGGAGAGAGGGTGCGATGGGTGTATGTCTTGCTTGGAGGGTTACGTTTTGCAGATGACGTGTGCCTGCATCTTGCTGAGGAGCTTCTCGGCTTTCTTGGCCATCTCGTTGAAGTTGATGTACTGCCTGCAGACATTCGTGCATGCGGTGCGGTGGGTGCAAGGCGGCCAGGGAATCGATGAATCGGATTAGGTGTGCGTGTCGGTGTGCGCACCTGTTGCCCAGCCCCATGATGGCCAGGTGCATGTCGTCCAAACACTCATCACGCTCGCTGCTCGTCAGCTGCATCGACATACAAATGCAATAAATCACCGGCCTCATTGGTAACGAGGGCATTCAAAACCTCTCACCCATTTGTGGAAGGCGACAGCGTTGTCAGTCGGGTCACCTGCACACACGCATGGCAACCAAAGCCGTGTTCCTCTGCATGTCTGAATATGTTTTTGCTTTCCTTCGTACCTTCCCCGTACGTCGCCAGCACAAGCACCACCCACCGGTGCTTGACAAAACGCTCAGCCTCGAAATCCTGCACACACATCGAAGCAGCAAAGCCATCCCCGGCGTAAGGCATTCATCGTCCTTTCCTCCCTCCCCTGGCACTCACTGACCTCCATATCGATGACCTCAGTAGGAATGTCCTTCTCCCCCGCCAGCCTCCCCAGCTCCTTGGCAAACGACTCGGCCGTCCCCGTCTGAGAGCCGAAGTACATGTACACCCTCTCCGCATCGTCTTCCTCTGTCGACTTGCTCGCCGCGCCTGGCGACTCTGCGACGCCGTTGAGTGCCGTCAGCTTGCTGCTCTCACCTCCGAGCCTGTCGTTGGCCGCTGCTCTCATTCTGCGCCAGAGGAGGTACAAGCTGACGCCGATGGATGTCACCACGGCCGTGGCGGCGAGGGCAGACGCTGTCGAGTATTGCTTCGGCCGCTCCATGGCTGAAGACAGCCGAAATTTGATGTGGTGAGCTTCAGGCGCTTCCAGATGCTTCTATTCACGTTGAATGAGAGCGTTTGTTCGTTCGAAAGAAAACAGCCCTGCAAGGTTAGCTCGCAGACCTACCCTGATCGACGTCGCCTTTGTCGTCGCTTTTTCGCGGCCTTTCTGCAGATATCGGCGCTATCTGACAGCAGGTGCATGGATCTGTAACAATGCGACTCTCACTTGCAGCAGCGGCGGCGGCCATCGGTGGCGTGTTGGATGCCGACGGCTCCAATGCCGGCGCTGCTCATGCGTTCCTGCGTCTGCCCGCAGTGCCCTCCGTGCCACGCATCAGACGGCAGTCAAGGCGTCCCAGAGATCTCTCATTGCGCAACCGGCCAGCGACCAACGATGGCGACACCCATCATCAGCCAGGGCTGCATGACGCCCGTTCTTCTGCCCGGCGTGCTTCTGCAGTGGATCCGTCTTTGGACAAGTGGAGGGGGAGTGGGTCAAGTGATGTGGTGAGTCGGCGGATGGAGCTGGCTGCTTCCGTGCTGGCAGGTCTTGCCCTGCTGCCGGCGTCGGCGAGTGCGGGAGGCATCCCGTGGACAGGCGGCGAGAAGGGCCTCGGGTCGGGAGAGCTGGACCTGCAGGCAAGCTAAAGGAAACGGCAAAGGAACAACAACATGTTGTGTGCATGGCTTTCAGATGTATCTGTATAATCTCATCAACCGCAACAGGCCGATGGGCAAGACAGACCCCCTCGACTTTGTGGTGGCCAGGACACTCGACGAGAACCTCGTGAAGGCACTCAAAGAGGCGGCCATGGGCGAGCTGCAACGGGTGTCGGGCGTGTCGCGTCGGCAGCTGCAGAGTGAGATGGAGGAGCTGCTGCGGAAACGCGACAAACTGTTCTCACAGAGGTGGGGGGAGGGGAGAGGGTGAGGGCTGAGTGTGTTGCTGCACCCATGCGGGCAGGAGCACGTCGCTTTTCTTCTGTGTTTGTGTGTGTGCGTGTGTGTGTGTGTGCGCGGTCAGTGCAGGTACCTGGTGACTGACGAGAGAGACCAGTAAGCACATGGATGCATCTACCCATCGCACACACATGCACACGGGGCGGTTTGTGCTGTCTGTTTGTCAGGTACGCTTTTGATCTGTGGTCGTGGCTCTTGTGGAAGGTCGCCGCCAGCCACATCCCCAAAGGCGACGCAAACGATCCCCTGGGAACGGTACGCAGCACCCATCGGGTCTCCAACACCCATTGATTGATTCCTCTTCGCTGCTGCCTGACAGGCCCGCCGCTCCTTCCAGCTGTCGATAGGCCGCAGGCTGCGCGACATTGCCAGAGCCCGGCATGAGGCCCTGTATGCTGGCGACAGTGAGCCGTTCATGCGTGTGTATGACGCGGAGAGGGAGGGGCTGGGTGAGGCGGTCAGTGGGATAGAGAGGATGCTGCGGGTGCTGCAGAAGGACGGCTTCATCCGCAGCTACAAGGTGGCCACACCGGTGAGCATTTGGACACATCGTGGCTGGCCTTCAGACACGCATCGTACCGATGTGATTTGGTGTGCGCGTGGGGTCAGGAGTATATGGATGAGGATTGGGCGGCGAGGAGCGGGCCTCTGAACATCCAGGTGTCAGTCTACGAGTCCGCCTCACTCACTGCAAGCACCCTCCTCAACGACGAACGCACCAAGTGAGGCCACACACACACACACACACATGCACTCACACGACATGGGCTCCAAACTGTGCATGTGATTGGGGGTGTGTTTGACCAGTTTCCGGCCTGACTGGATCGGCACTGCAGTGACGACATACCTGAGGGATTGCAACTTGCCTTACAACGGCTACGAGGAGCTATTTCTCGACGAGAAGTGGAGGCCTAACCCTGCGGACTACCGAGTGTCGGAGCAGCTGTACTCGTTCATCGTTGACCGATCCTTAGACAGCCTCAAGAGCGCACGCAACACCGACATGTAGGGGTGCATGGTGATGGGATGGATAGATGAGACTGGACCATGCAAGTGCCCGAATGGTGGTCTTTCTCTTTATCGGTGTGTCCAAATCGTTTCGTTTCGACTGCCCACGTCCATCCCGCCCACCCCCACACACACATGAACAGACACAGACACACAACAGTCACTCGCCGTGCCTTCTGTCTTGACTCCTCCCCCCGCACGGCGTTCGGTGTCCGCCACCTCGGAGGGCTCACTCCCCCGTTTTTTGATGAACGGGAATGTGATTCCTTCGAATTGGCAAGACCAAACACTCGTGAGAGGAAAAGAAAGGGAATCAGACTCTTTTCACTGTGTTAGCAAGCCTCATCGGACGCTCTCGGCAGCCGCCGTCACCTTCTCCCCTTCTGCTGTGTGGCTCCTCCGCGACTTGGCAGCCCACCAGGCGGTTATCAGTGACTGGTGGGGCGACCAAGACGCAGAAGAAGAAAAGCAGCAGAAAGGAGGCCGCAAAAGCACGCCGCGCGATGCGCTGTGGGCAAGAAAGAGCCCACACGAACACAATCAAAAGAGAACAAGTGTGACAGGTATCAATTAGCATCCACACGACGGGACGGGACGGCCAAAACACAAACACGCCAGCCAGCGATCAGTTTTCCATCGACATGCGCACACCACACGACACGACACACGGATGCAACTGAGTGGGTGACCAGCCATTCATCCGTCCATTCCTTTCTGCCCCCCTCTCTGTCTGTCTTGTCTGTCTGTCCTGAGAGTGCCCACCGTATTGACGAAACGTCAATGAGCGACCCATGCCATCAACACGCCCTCGGCAAAACACACACACGCGCACGCACAGGCACACACACGACACTCTCGTCTGTCGTGGCCACACGCAAACACCAACAAACCCACCCCCCCCCACCGCTCTCCCTCACCCATTCACTCGCTCATTGCCTGTGTTCCCACTGCCGACAGATCGCCCACCTTAGGCATCGCTCGCTCTTCATCCGTTCGGTCCCCCTCGCTCATCGAGCCACTGCATTGCGTCATTCGTCGACGGTCTCTCCCTCCTCCTCGTGGTCGTTGTCGTCGATGACCTCCTCGTCCTCGTCAACCACCTCGTCAGCCTTGGCCTCGCCCTCAGGCTCATTAACGGGATACTGCACACACACACACACACACACACACACAGAGAGAGAGAGAGAGAGAGAAGGGGATGAGTGTTTTCGTGGACGTGTAGGTCTGTCTGTCTGTCTGTCTGTGTGTATGTGCCTTAAAATCAGGGTCCTTCTTCATGCGTATGGTGAGCTTGGGGACGTTGCGGATGAGCCGGTTGCGGGCCTCGCCCTCCTCGGGCCGGTAGTAAGAGGTCTCCACTTGCTGAACATGACACGACACGGCACCACACACCCATTCCCACACACCGTGAATGGAATGGTCCATTTGCCTCTGTGCGCGCGCGTGAGCTGTGTGTCACCTACCGTGATGGTTGCGACTTTGTTCTTGACGAGCGAGTCCGACACGGCCACAGCGCTGTTCATCGCACTCCTGCACACAACACAAGCCACCCACACCCATACCCCACACAGAAGTATGCAACTGTCCTTCTGCGCCACATGTGTGTGGTGTGTGGCGTGACCGCAGCTCCCTCCCCGCAGGTACCGTACCCGAGTGCTGTGAGAATGAGTTCCTCCACGGGCTCCTTGTCCTTGGAGCCGCCGAAAAACCGCTTCGCCACCTGCGCATAAAACACCCTCGGACGGGCGTTGGAGATCTGCACACACACACACACACACACCAGAGATGCATGTGAGACGAATGTTCTAGCAGACGTGTCAGGCAGGCAGGCACACACACGGTCGAGCGTCAGTGCACTGCCCCTGGCTCCATCCCCGCCCTCCCCTGCCCTCTCCCTCCTCTCCCGCCTCACAGATCTGACTTCCCCTCCTTTTTCTCCCAGATCAGTGGCGGTTCCTGTCGTGCGCGAGGCGGCAGCCGGCGTGCGCATCGCTCCGCGTGTGCTGCCAGCCGTGACAGTGCTTCTCACCTGCATCTTGCCTGGCTCCTCGGTCGTCATGGTGATGGTGTGGTTCAGAGAGGCGAAGCGGGGCGGCGTCCTGACGGACCCGGTGCGAGGGAGCTGGTGGCGATGGGCCGTGAAGGAGAGGCCTTCTTGACGAAAAGAGCTGGTAGATCTTCTCCCTGATCTCGCAACCTCGCCAAATCTAAGCTTGCCTCGGCGAGGAATCGGAGGGTCACTCACACACCACGAGGGAAGTTGATTGGCTGTTGATATTCGCTGATATTCACCGTCATCGCAAGCCGCGTGTGAGCCAGGGGGATTGTCGTTTGATGAGAAGATGGCGGACGATAGCCACTCGGGCGAAGAGGTGGGTGGGCGAGGACGCATGGAGGATGGAATGCAGCACGACGACACCGTCGAATTGGTTTGTCGTTTGGTGTTTGGTGTTGTGTGTAGTCTGCGTGGAGCAATGACGAGATAGAAAAGATTGTCGTCGACGTACTCGACAGTACTTGAGACGAACACACACAATATGCAGGCCCACCGGCTCATTGGAGCTCTGCGTCTGTGTCTGTCTGTCTGTGTATGTGGGGGCCCTCAGGTCTGTTAAAGAATAAGGAATACCAGGAAGAGATGGTATGATGGGGAAGAAGAAGAAGGCAATTTGTCGCCCATTTGTCGCTGTCTGTGGGTCTCTCTCTATCCGGTTGGCTGGCTGATGGCCGCGGTGGTCGTGCAGGTGCCTTATTGGATAGACGAGATATGCGAGACCACCACGGAGCGCCTCAATGAGCTCAAAAAGTCCTTCAAATACATCGGTACGTCCGTGAGTCGTTGACCGCCTTGCCGTCAAGGCAACACGCGGCTGTGTGTGCTGTCTTGTGCGGGTGCATGCGACGCGCAGTCAGTTGCGTCTTGATGCAGCGGAATGGCGCGGGCCTGCACACGGTCACCAGCTGCTTCTGGGACACTGTCAACGACGGTATGGGTGACAGACATGGTGCATCCTACCTGGGCACAGCTGTGTTGTGTTGTGTTTTTGTGGGTGTGTGGTGTCTGCTGTAGGCGTGTTCACGTACGTGTGGCCGAAGGAGAAGAGCAAGGACCAGGTCAAGAAGAGCCTCTACTGCATCCTCACCGTGTTTGGCGTCGAGTACTAGCTAGCTAGCTACCTAGGGTGGGGGTGGCGCGGACGTCATTGTTTGCTCCTTCCTGGCTGCCCCGTGTGTGTGTGTATGTGTGTGTGTGTGTGATTGCGTGTGGGTGAGGACACGTTCCTTCCGTGGTGCGCGAGTGAATGCACTGCACGATTGATTGGTTTCGGGGGCTTCATCATTGCAATGCAGTCATGGAAACAGAAAAATGTATCTCCTAGGCATTCACACGCCGTGGGGGCACCAAGGGTCCGCTCATCCCATGGCATCGCATCTCTGTTTCCTGTCTGGCTGTCGCATCACTCAATACACACAGACACACACACACACAGAGAGAGAGAGAGGGAGGGAGAGAGAGGGGGGGCAAATGGATGACAAATGGAAGGCAGGCATCGGCCAGTCAGATCCATATGTATTTATTTACACCAGACAGACAGACGGGACGAGAAGGTAAGAATTGGAGCGATTGCCGGACAGACAGACAGACAGACAGCCGCCCAGCCAGCCTCGCCCACTCACCTGTACACACACCTAACGCACCTAGGCAGATAGATAAGATACCCCGCCCCTCCCCACCGTCGGACCTTTTCTCTCCTTTCTACACACGGACGAGCGACTGCCCGGCTCTCGTCTACTCAATCACCCATCGATGGGATGGGCGGCCATGCAGCGAAGGAAGACAGAAAGAAAGAAAGAAAGAAACGAAGGAACGGCAGCCTCTCTACGACGCTCGACGCTTGAAAATGATGCCACAGCAGCTCTTGCCTCGACCTACTCGGCTCACTTGACTCGGCTCTACTTGCTCTGTGTGTCATTCATCGACATCATGGCCCTCAGCGTCTGCCATATCGTCCATGTCCTCCATCTCGCTCAACACGTGCAGATGGCCCAGCAGCCGCGCTATGCGACCGCGCAGCACGGTATCAGGAATCGCCAACATGCGCAGCAAGCGCCTGCGACCACACATCCGTCCACACACATGAGATGTGTCTGTGTGGGTGTGGGTGCGTAGGTGGGGAAGGGTCACCTGCAGGTGGCTACGGCCATGCCGAGAAACCTCTTCTGCGTGCGGTCAAATGCCTCCCACTCGGCCTCTGTCTGCTCGCTCAGCATCGCCTGCTGTGTGGCTGTGGTGGGGTGGTTGCCGGTGCCCCGCCGGCTGCCCCGGCCGCCTGGCTCAACGCAGACAAATTCGGGGTGGGTCTGCTCCATCTCGCGCTGCATGTGGAAGGCCGCACGGATGAGCGCCACGGCAGCGCTGCACGACGCCGCAGTCACTGACACCTGCACACACACACACGGATAGACGAATTCCTATTCTCCATCGCTCCCTCTCTGTCCCTGTGTGTGTGTGACCTGGAAGGCGCTAACAGCCGTGTTGGCGAGCCCGTTCACCGCCGCGTCCCCCGGGTCGCCGTCCGCCCCTTGATGCTCATGGTGGTCAGGCAAGTCGTGCTCGTGGCATGACGGGTGGAAGTATCTGCTGCAGTCGTATACCAGCTGGCAGGCCAGCTTGACCATCGATGTCACGCCGGCGAGATCGGACGGCGGGGGCGCGTGTGGCGGTGCTGGTGCGTTGTTGTCGGGGAAGGAGTGGGCCAGCTGCAGGACTAGGGGGCTCAATGCCGTCAGGAAATCCTACACACATCAACACACACACACACACGCACGGAGGGGTATGGGGATGGGTGGGGGCATGCAGGTTTCTTTACGTCGGGTGTGAGGCGCTCGTCGGTCCTCCGTTGCAGCAGCCGATAGAGCTCCTCACTCGGCTGCTCTGTCTGTGTCCGTGTCCGTGTCGTCTCGCCGTCCTGCTGTCCGCTGCTGTGTCTGTGGTCGGCCAGGAGCCCGGCTGTGCTGTAGGCCTGCAGGCACTGGAAGGCCGCCGCGCTCACCGCGTTGCTCGGGTCCTCTAACCTCACCTGTGTCAATGACAGACACACACACACACACACATCCATCCAAGTGCACGTGTGTGTTGTTGCCCCTTCCACTTTCACTGACTCACCAGGACACACACGAGGTGCGTCAGGAAGTGCCGCTGCAGGGTCAACCTGAGGGCGTCTTTCGTGTCCCCATTGCCTTTGTCGCCATCAGCTGCTGCTGCTGCTGCTGTGGGTGATGTGGGTGATGTCGGTGGTGGGATGTCGAACTTGATGACAGCTGTGCCCAGGCGAGACAACAGGTCAAACCCGCCACTTCGCAGAGACCACTCCTGGTGGTTGAGTATGTTCGTGAGCTGCCCCGCCGCGCCCACGAGCATCTCTGCCCACTCGAGGGAGGGCGGGGGGACGGCACAGCACCGCTGCAGACCCCTCAGCGCCTCCACCACACACACGCCACTGCCGTCATCCAGCCCGCCCAACAGACACTCCAACACCTGCACACAACAAATCACACACAGAATCCACACAGGGATAGACTGACTGACCTGTGAGTCGGGCACTCACCTGTGTGGCGGTATTGTCCATGTCGGGCACGCCCACGTCCCCAGACCCATTGCTCTCCTCGGCCCCACCCTCCTCCCTCCCACCACCACTCGCCATCGACGAAGGCGACCCCTCATCGCAGCTCGAATATGACGCCGGAGCCGTTGCGCCCCGCTGCATAGTCCCCAGCGGTGTCTCGGTGGGGGAGTCCGTGTCAATGTGGGCGTGAGGGACGCCTGGGAGTGTGGTGACGGTGCTGGAGATGCTGGTCTTGGCTGTCTTGTACCAGACGTAGGCCACCAGGCTCATGGCGCGGTAGGCGTGCTTGCGCACCACTGGGGCGGCGTCCTGCGTGCGGTCGAGCAGACACGACATCAGACGGTCCACGTCTCCCTGCGTCTGCGCGCACACACACACACACGAGACGGAATGAGAGACGCTTCCTCCCTCCCTCCCTCTCTCTCTCTCTGTTGGCTCGCTGACCAGTTTGGTGCTTTTCCTGTCGTTTTGGTGTTCGGACGGTTCTGTGAAGAAGACCAGCTGTGCGAGGGTGGCCGTTGCGCCCACCCGATGGCCGAGTATTTCCCTCCCCAGGAAGGGCTCCACGAACCGAAACACACCCGGACGGCCGTCGGGGTAGTGCCTGCACCGATATCCACCCATCCACCCACACACCCATTCAGAAACCACACAGACGAGCATTCGAGTGTGTGTCGTGGCTGACTTGAAGAACATGGCTGCGACGTCGGCTATGCCCTCGTCGTAGCTCTCGCGGCACTTGGCCAACAGCCCCCTCCGCTCCACAGCGGCCGACAGCGACGTCTGCTGCGACGCCCGCAGGAAGTTGCCCAACGCCTGATGACACACACACATTCTGCGTGTGTGTGCATGTGTGTGTGTGTGTGGATGGATGGATGGATGTGGTGGCTGACGTGTATGGCTGTGTCGGTGCCGATTCCGCCGGCAGTGGTGCCGATGCGGAGGAGGAAGGTCGAGAGCAGCTCAGGCAGGTACTTGCGCACCACGCTGCGGACCGTAGAGTCGTCCACACCGAACAGATGCGCTGCACACACACACGCATGGTGGACATGTGGAGCCATGGAGCACTCTCTCTCCCCTTGTTTGTTTCGATGTGGGCGTACCGACGGCAGCCGTCGCGCTTAGCACCAGTTTGTTTGGCGTGTTGGCGTCGCCTGGGTCAGAGTTGTTGATGGTGTCCGTCAGGTGGCTCAGCGTCTTGAGCAGCAAAGGGCGCTCACTGACACATAAGAGGTACCGCCCACGACGGACGGACGGACGGCACACGTGTGTGTGTGGGGAGGGGGGGGTTGGTGTGTGTGGCTGTGTGGTGTCTGCTTATGCCATACACACCGTGCGATGACTTCGAACACGCCCAGGTGCGCGTCGTCATATTCCGGACCCCTGTCGATCAACTCGGCCACAGTCGCCTACACACACACACACGGACGACACATGGCGCACCGGCAGATGGATGTGTGTGTGTGTGTCTGCACAGCCATGCCATGCCATGCCATGCCTGGAAGTGGTGTGTGGCGAGCATCCGCACGGACAGCAGCGCCTGGTGGGTCACCTCCCGCGCCTTGACCTTCCGGACCTCGTCCAACATCGTCGTCACCAGCTTGCGGGCAGACTCCACACTCAGCTGGGTGCAGCGCGCCTGCACACACCACACCACACACACAAATGGTGCACGCCACTCTCGCCTTTTCTCCCCTGTGTGTGTGTGTGAGTCTCCTGCGTGCCTGCAGGATGGCCCCGAGAGTTTCCATGGCGGCCTTTGCGGCTCCCTCGTCGCTGTCCTGCATGCCTAGCATCAGGTGCTGCACCAGGGGCGCCACGCACTCGCGCGGCACCGAACGGACCAGAATGTCTGATATCTGCTCTACCGGGCTGGACACGACAGAGGGGGGAGGCTGGGGGCTGCTGCCGTCAGGAGGTGATGTTATCGTGACTGGCTCCGTCAGCACACCTACGCCCAGAACCAGACACACACATGAGTGAGTGTGTCCGTCCGTCCATCCATCCATCCATCCATTCATACCGAGGTCGCCGAACGACACTGAGGGTGAAGCCTGTCCCTGCTCATCAGCAGGCGGGGGCAGTGGAGAAGCCTCCCTCTCACGATCCCTCTGCTGCTCGTCACCAGCTGCTGCTGCACCATGAGGTAGGGGTAGTGCGATGGATGCCTCCTTGGTCCAAGGGCACCTGGCCAGCAGCTGGTTGACCGTCTCCACCCCCATGACGGCGATCTCGTCCCAGCCGTCGCCCAGCCGCGGGATGACTAACGCCACCGACTCACACCACTCGCCCCATTGCTGGTGGTGGCTCTCACGCAGTGTGACCGATGTGGGGGTGGGTGTGGGTGTGGGGCGGTCGACCACTGCCACACCCTTGCCGCTTCCTGCCGTCGTGGTGCTCTGGGAGGACTTATCTGCACACACACACACACACAGAGACAGAGAGAGTCAGACTGGATGTGTGCATGGGTGTGTACCAGGACTGGAGTCAGCCGATTCAGCAGCAGCCACACCCGACAGGTCAGCCACAGTGGCCGCGTGCAGCGGCGCGGGCGAAGGTGGTGAAGGTGAGAGCGACGAAGGCGGCAGCAGCGTCCCCTGACCAGGTTGAGGGCCAAAGCCCTCCTTGGGCTGCATGTGTGGCGCGCTGCCTCGCCGGTGCTGCGCGACGATGGGGCCGGGGGGGGGCGGGGGGGAGAGGCTGACGATGGGGGCCTCTTTGGATACCGAGTAGAGGAGGTGTGTGCAGGTCCATCGGAGGAACGGGTTGGGGCCATTCGCCCCAATGGACTGCACTGCCTGACCGATCAAAGAAATGCATTCCACAGCACGTGTGACACGTGGTGTGTGGCTGCATTCTGTCTGTGTGTGTGCAGCACGCACCAGGATGAGCCTTGAGACGCCGAGCCACGAGTTGGTGTGCAGCACGAGGGACGTCACGACGGCTACCACGCCCCGCACGCACTCCTTGAAGACAGCGTCGCTCTGCTCATACATCTCACCAAGGCTCTCCCTTCCACCCACACCACCACCACCGCTGTTGAACGGGCAGCTCTGAGAGGACGTGGGCGACGCTCTGACCGGCTGTTGCTGTTGCTGCTGTTGCTGCTGGACGGTCTTCTCTTTGTCTGCCGCTGTGGGGGCGGGAGGTGCTGGGACAGATAGAGTTGTGGACTGTGGCGGGATGGCCTGGCGGAGGATGTTGAGGGAGAGGTCGAGGGTGGTGGTGAAGAGGTCCGGCTTCAGCTCGGGCTCTAGTGCTATCAGCGAACTGCACACACACAACCCCCCCAAACACACGCACAGAGAGAGAGATGCGGATCTGCATCTGGTGTGTCGACCACCCCCTCCTCTCTCCCTCCCTCTCTGTCACTCACTCACCAGATGGCCTCCAGCGTGTTTGCCACCAGCTGTGTCAGTGTCACAGGTCCAACCATAACGCCCCCATCGCCACCTTGTTGTCCGTCTTTGCCACCACCGCCCCCCTTGCCCCCCTTGCCATCACCAACCCCCTTGCCGTCGGCCTGGTGCTGTTGCTGCGAAATGAGTGCCGACGGGGGCATGACGAGTGACGGTGCTGAGATGAAGTTGGTGGACACGGCCGAGGCGGCGATCAGGGAGGGGTGCACCGACTCACGGCTGATCGAGAGACATCACAAGGGAGGGGGGGAGGATGTGAGCGTGTGCGTGTGGAAGTGATTAGGTAGGTCACCTTGGTGGCGGCGTGATGAATTGCAGCAGCGCTGTGAGAATCTCGTCACGCAGGGAGCCCAGAGGGCCACCTATCGGGCATACAAACAGAGAGAGAGACGCCATCGATGAGCGTGTGTGTCCGCCCGCCTCACCCCAGACCCACCTTTGTCGGCTCCACTGAAGGCCACCAGCGAGTGCATCACCGGGCCGCTCCCCGCGCTCGGCGACCGCGCCATCTCCTCAACTCCACCCCCCCCACTGTCACCGACCCCCCCTCCACCCCTGCCATCATCCACAAACGCACTCGCCATCAGCTGCACCGCCCCCACCACCGCCAGCAAGACCTCAGGCTCCTTCTCGTCCTTCAAGGCCGTCAGGAGCGGCGCCGCCACGAGCGACTGCAGCTTCTTCAGCAGGTCTCGCTGGTGCTTTGTGGTTCCTTCTGAGGGCTTTGTGGGCGGAGAGCCTTCTCTCAGTGGGATGGGGAGGGTGAGTGTGACGGCCGTCGGGCCTCCCGGGGCGGACTTGGCTTCGGACCGTCGGGGGCCGCATGGGGCGTACTTGGCGCAGTAGCCTGCATGGCATGCATCAGTCGTGCGTGGGGAGAGAGAAGGAGAGATCTGTCCTTATGTGTGGTAGGAGTGAGGAGTCACCTAGTGAGAGTGCGATGGTAGCACGGAGGTGCTCTGCGTGCAGCACGGCTGCGAACTTGCCGAAGATGGCGAACGGGCCCGCCTGCACACACACACAAAGCCATCATACACAGAACACACAGCACCATCCGCCACCAGAAGGTACCTTCTTGGTGGCGGCCTCTGTCTTGGCGATGCTCTGGAGCTTCATCAGCACCACATCAAAGTGCTCGGCGGCCGCAAACCCGATGCCCCTTGCACACGCGCGGCGGAATACGTCTGCACCGAGGGCCTCTCCGGTGGCGAGAAGGGTCTCCAGAATGGCCGTCACCTACAGACACACACAGAAGGGCAGACAGAGAGGGATCACAGTGTCTCCCTCACTCTCTGGCTCACCTTTTGAATGTTGGCGCCTTTGAGGTTCCTCATGCAGGCGCCCAGCAGGCCGTAGACGCCGCATCGGTGTGCGTCGGGAATGCTCTCGATGGATCCTGATGTGCCAGCCTTGGCCAGCTCCGACTTGTAGTCGGCTGATGGGGGCAGGATGGTGTCTTGCGCGTGTGTCTTTGCTCTCCCACCTACCAAATGTGTTTTGCAGCGAGTCCGTCAGCCGCACCGCAAAGCCCCCGCCGTCATCAATCGACTGACTCCCCCCCAACACACGCACACACACCGATAAAGCAAAATGGGTCAGTGTGTTCCTACCCACCTGCAGCAGGTAGTGCAGCTCGCGCATGAGCAGGGCGTGCCACTCCTCCTGCTGGAAGTCCTTGAGCAGCTCGCCAAGCGACACGGTGCTGCTCATCGCCGCCAATGTCGGTCCGCTGGCGGACACCATCGACACACTCGGACCCTCCTAATCACACACACACCCTCGCACACAAAGACGTGCACACCCCCAGTCAGTGTGGTGTTGTTCCCCCACCCACTTGTAGAATGGCGATGAGTTCCTGCAGCCTTGACGAGGGTGACGCCTCCCACACCTCAGCTGCGGTGGGGTGGATCAGAGGGGCCAGCGACCGCAGACCCTCCAAGATGCACACACCCTGACAGACAACGACACATTGATGGGAACATCCTGTGTATGTATGTGTGTGGATGTCTGTGTCTGTGTCTGTGCGGACCTGGTTAGGTTTTGCGAAGGGGTCGTGTGCAAAGAGGAACAGTCGCGAGAGCAGCACATGGGGCCCGGGGAGGGCCACCACACTCTCCTCCAGACTGATCAGACATACGGATGGGTGCGTGCCATCAGACAGACAGACAATCTGCATGGCATGGGCGTGTACCTGAGTGCTCTGAGCATGTAGTCGTGTCCTCGTTTCCTCTGCACCGACTCAATGATGTTGCCGGCACACTTGCACAGCACTGACAGCGCCGCCGTGTACTGCGAGTGCACTATCGCCGCTATCGCCAAACCCCACATCAACCCTGCACACACACACACACACAGCGCCACACTTGTGTGGGAGTGTCCATCTCACTTGGTGCCCCTCCACTGAGTTGTCCAGTGAGCACAAGGTTGGCCCTGTCGCGCAGATCCCTCAGGCCCACCCCCTCCCTGCCCCTCGTGGCCGCCTTGTCCTTCTCCAGCTTGCTCTCAGACGTGGCCGCCAGCTTCATGATGTACTGCAGCAACGCCTGAGACGTCGCACTCAGCGGCACTAGCCATTCCTGACGTCAGGAAGGCACACAACACACCAAAAACTTGTGTATCTCGGCGGGCGGGAAAATATGGTGTGCAAGCGCACCTTTGCCTCGACCTCCTTTGCTCTCTCCTCAGCGGTGCACGGTGGTGACTGCAAGAAGCCGGATGTGGCGAGGGCCACGATGAGCTCGATGAGGGAGAGGGCGGCGGTGTTGTCGGCGACGGTGGGGGCGCTGGTGGCGTACAGGTGGTCCAGGGTGAGCGACTGCAGGGTGTTGAGGAGCTTGTCGATGCGCTCCTTGGGGTCGGCCTGCAACGCCGGGTGGCACGATGGGCTGCCTGATTGTGTGATTGACACGCACAGACGCAATCACGCAATAGTCGGGTGTAGGTGTTTGGTCAGTCAGTCATACTTGCGATGTGTCTGAGGACGGTGAGGGCGCCGATCCGGTCGTCCTTCTGCTTGCTCTGCAGCTTGCCTGAAAGGACAACCACCACACGCAGCACCACCACAACACATGCCCCCTCTCTACTCAAGAACACCCACCCACCCACCACTCACCCAGGAGGAATCCCAGGACATTGTCAGTCCACCCCAGCCAGACCACCTCGACGCACTTGAGTATCTCCGCCTGGCACCGCATCAGTGACGGGTGGAACTGCGGCGGCTGCGACGAGTAGAGGGAGTCGGAGGACACCGGCGTCAGCAAAGCGAAGAGAGAGGCCGTGAGGGGCGAGAGCGATGCCTCTATCGCCGCGGGATCGGACTCGCTGCAGCTCTGATGAACAGAGGGGAGACTCATGGATGGGTGGGGAGTGACGGGTGTGTGTAGGTACGTGTAAGAACGAAGCGAGTCCGCGTAGCATGGGTAGTGGTGAGGGGCCGCCGGGCGCCTCCTTCTTGGCCGTGCCGCACTGCTGGATGAACAGACCCAGCAAACTCTGACACACACACACACGGATGGATTGCATACAACGCACTCATGACACACGCCGACGTGCATTCGCTTGTTCCGTACCTGTGCGTGGTGCTGCAGCCTTTCCGCAGTGACGACGCTGGCCATGAAACCCAGTGCCTCGAGTGTGTGGAGCCGCACGCTGCTGTCCTTGTTGAGGGCGTCCTTGGCCTGCTGCAGACCGCTGCCCGTCAGCAGCACCTCTAACGCAGTGCCGACTAGCTGCGCGGGCTGCGACTCTCCCTGCGGACCTGACAGGCGACAATGTGTGATGTGGTGCGGTGGTTCTTTCCGTGTGTGGAGCTCACCTATTCGTCCTTCCTTGCCCTCTCCCTCTGCTGCTCCGTCCACCACTGCCTGGCAAAGGGCGGCGAAGGCCTTGACCAGACTGATGCGCTGAGTCTCAGCCTACACCACACACACACACACGCACACATGGATGGATGGATGGATGAGTGTTGTGTGCAGTGGCCACCTTGAGTGGTGCCGGCAGTGTGACGGGTGTGCCCCCCTGTGCTGCTGGCTGTGGCGTGACGGAAGCCGTGAGGAGCGGCAGCAGCCGCACCATCAGCGGCTGGAAGTGGGCCGCCGTCTGCGCCGGCACCGTGGACGCCAGGTCGGTTATCACCTCCAGCAACACCGTGGCCTCCAGCTGTCGACCTGCAAAGAGAAAGGAGCACACGCATTCAATAGATTGATGGATGGATGGATGGATGGAGCTCACTTTTCCTGCTGTTTTGGGAGGGGTTTTGGTTGTCCTGTTGTTTGTCGAGTGCGCTGAGGATGGTCTCAAAGGTGACGGGAGGGTTGCTGGACGCCAAACAGACGAGGACGTCGCCCATGGCCCGCTGCCGCCCGTCGCCGTACTTGAGCAGCACCATCTCGTTGACCATGAAGTCCGCCAGCGACTTGGCCAGGTCGTCGTCCAGGTCCGGCCGCTCGCCCTCGTGGTCCTGCTCATGGTCCAACAGGCACTCATCGCCATCCGCAGGCTCCTACGCCCCCCCCCAACACACACACGACAGATGGATGCGTGTGTGTGTGTGTGGATCTGAGTACCTTTCCATTGTCGGTGGTTGTGGTCTTTTTGTTGGTGTCGGTGGCTATGCCGAGTACTTGGCAGAGGAGCCTCAAGAGGCCCAGCTGGTGGTTGGCTGAGGTGCGCCTGACTTCGAGGAAGGAGGAGATGGAGCGGACCACCAGCGTGAAGTGCACATTGGCCACCACGTTGATGGACGAGTTGATCGACACCTGATGCACACACTCACACACACACGCACACGCACATAGGAGAGCTGCCCCTGTGTGTGTGTGTGTTGAATGCGTGTGTCGGCGCACCTGCACAGAAGGGTCGCCGTCTTTGACGAGGTCCAGCAACGAGAAGATGACCTCGTCAAGCACCGGGATGTCGTCGGCGTCCATCGATTTGGTCACTACTACCAGAAAAACGCCGCGCCCACCTGAAAGAAGCCGCGACAAGGACACACCCTCATGACTGCCGCTTATCTATGCTCGACGCACAGACACATATGCATGCGGCCTTCTCTATCGTGTGCATCTACTGATCTGCCGCCTGTGTGCACTCCAGGCGGATCATCCTGCTTTTTCTGCCAATCGAATTTCACGACTCTTACGGGTTGAAAAGGCGCTCTGGCGATGGCTCAAGCTACTCTATAGCTGCACAACGCCAGATCTTCGTCCGACGCCCCTTTCCCAAGCGCGAGCTTGGAAGCTCGCGAAGGAAGAAGTTTTCTCCTCCGGACTTTTAAGGCCCTTTAGGCCACACGAGGGTGTCCACAGGACGGATCTATCGCTTCTTTGCGAAATGCATCGACTTTGGCTCCTCCTCGTCGGAGCTCACTGCATGGCCTGCGTGTCCGCTTTCTCTCTCCAGCGTATTACACACAACGGTCCCTCATCGCTACGACGCTCGGCGCAACGATTGCATCCATCGCCGGCCAGCCCGCTGTCTTTTTCATTGAGTAGGGCTGATAGTGGTGCCTTGCTGGTGTTGCGGGCGGAGGAAGAGAGCAAGGGCAGTCAGGCGGTGGCTGTCAAGGACGGGGAAGGCGATGAGTTGGCAGTGAGGAAAGAGGAGCTGCTCAAGTGCCGCGACGCTTTGAGGGTAGGTCAGTGAGTGCTGCGTGTTCAAGTGATGAATGCATCTTTGCTTCCTTGCAGGACCTCATTGACGAGACCGCTGCTTTTGGCATTCTCATCCGGGCGGCGTGGCATGACGCAGGCACCTACGACGCCAAAAAGGAGGGCGAATGGCCGAAGAAAGGAGGTACCCACAGACACAATGAATCTGCGTGTCCTGGCTGCATGAGCGCGAGTGTATTGGTGGGTGTGTGCAGGTGCGAATGGCAGCATTCGTTTCCCGGAGGAGACCTCCCATGCGGCCAACGCTGGCCTCGACAACGCCATCAAGCTGCTGCAGCCAATTAAGGACAGATTCCAATCCGTCAGCTGGGCTGGTGTGTACGGAAGCACGCACACCACGTGTGTGTATCACGAACACAAGTGGACATCCTCGTTTCCCTTTTCGGTCGCTACCGTCGCAGTCATGTTTGTGTTGTTGCTCAGACATTCTGCAGATGGCCTCTGCTGTGGCGATAGAGATGGCTGGCGGCCCGAAGATTGCGATGCAATACGGTAGAGTAGACGTCGACAGCCCTGAAGACTGCCCCAAAGAGGTGAGGAACAAGAACACACACACATCATTTTCCGCCCGATCGTCTGTGTGTTCGTGCAGGGCAACCTTCCCGACGGCGCAGCGCCGTTTGGCGATGGCGCCGAAACACCCGCCCAGCACCTGAGGAACGTCTTTTATCGGATGGGCCTTGATGACCAAGAGATTGTGGCGCTCAGCGGTGCTCACACCGTCGGGCGGGCGTGGAAAAACAGATCTGGCTTTGGCAGGGGCGAGGAAGGGACCAACTACACCACTGGCGAGCACACAGACTTGCGACAAGACGGCAAGGGCTACTACGGGAAGGAGGGTGGCATGTCGTGGACACCGCGGTGGCTGCTCTTCGACAACTCTTACTTCACAGCAGGTAGGGCAGGAAGGGAGATGGATGCAAGTGGGTCGATGTGATCTCTCTCTTTCTCTTCCTCTCTCTCTGTGGATGTGTCTTCCCCTATCCCCTTCAGTGAATGCTGATGACGACCCGGAGCTGCTCAAGCTCCAGACAGACACGTGTCTGTTCGCTGATGAGGCCTTCCGACCGTATGCGCTGAAGTACGCCGACAGCCAAGAGGCCTTCTTCGCTGACTATTCCGCCGCACACAAGAAGCTCTCAGAGCTGGGCAGCAAGTTTGATCCTCCAGAAGGCATCACGCTGGACTGATGCCATGGATGGCCGTGGATGGATCATCCGTGGAGGTGGTACTCCTGTCTGGCTTTATCCATATCTTTGCCCTTGTCTTTGCTTTGGCACGTCTTAGTAAGAGTCTTAGTGTCTCTTGATCCTGTGGATGGTGTGTTTTCGCGTGGACAGGAAGTGGTGGGTCGGTTGTAGGTGGGTACTGTGTCTTTAACTGTCCGTCTTGGTGAGTTTCTCATGTGTGGGGCGCAATCGAATGTGTGTTCAGTCAGTCATTCAAAGCGCCCCTTTTTGGGTGTGGATGTCAAGCGATGTGCTACCGGTGGCTGTGACTTGTAGGCACACAGTAGGTCTACATGTGAAGACATCCCATGGTCCATTGTTGCAAAGGTTCAGATCCAGCCGTTGACCTCGGAACTCGTGGGGGCCACATGGGGGGAGGAGACGGGAACGGGAACGAGAGGGGTGGGCATTGGCGTCGGCAGAACAGAATGTGGGGCTTCTGGCACACGCAGCGCACCCCCCGCCTGCAAGGCCAGGAGGGTGGAAGCGGCAGAGACAGCCACAGCCGCTCGAGCTCCATCCATGAGACGCGGTACGTCCGGCTGCCCAGAGTAGAGGGTGACGGAGACGGTGATGCAGATGGGTCCGTCCACCAGGGACAGACAAAGCGTCCGAAGGTCAGTTGGCAGCTGCGCCGGCTTGGGGTGGTTGGACATGATGTTTCTTTCCATTGCAGATGCCGTCCATCTTCCAGCGGAGAGGACGACGCGGAGAATCGGCCTCTCCCGCCAGTTACCGGGTGCCTCTTCTGCGCCTTGAGACCATCCAGCGAGACGAAGGACTGATGCGACTGAACTTGGCCGACACCAAGATCGAGCTGACGCCAGCACCGAGGCGGCTCGAGAACGTCAATTGGAGGCCGCACTCAGACACGCGATGCCGCAATCAATTAAGCTTGTCCTGTTTTGTCTGCAGGTGCCGCTGGTGGGCAGCCCCATGGGTCCTGGCCCTATGATGGCGCAAGGAACAGATGAATTGATCCAAGCGTGGAATGAATCATTCGGAAATGAGAGAGTACAAACTTCACACTAAGAAACGGCAAATGTGCGTCTCAATTTGTTTTTCGTCTACAGGTGCCGCTGGTGGGTAGCCCCATGGGTCCTGGCCCTACGCATGACTCATCTGGCACCTACCAACCATCTGGCCCTATGATGGCGCAAGGAACAGCTGACTCACTCGAAAGCTTCCGAGCTGTACAACCATGAAGAAGAACGGATCACGTGAGGCTTTGTGATGTGCCTGTCCATTTGCTATTTCATCTGCAGGCGCGCTTGAGCGGCGACCTAGCCACTGATGAAAACGAAGCTACCAAGCTTCTCCGAGACAGCATCAAGAAGGCCATTAAGGCATCAGATGCAGCTGGATTGCGGGCAGCCCTTGCCGATCTGTCGCCTGAGGAGACTGAACAAGTCTTGACAACTGGAATATGGGAATTGGACGAACAGAAGGCTACATGTTCAGCGATTTTTCTTGCCGCAAGTATGTATCAGCAGAACAATGCATCACCACGTATCACAGGGTCGGTCTTGCTGTGTCAGTGAAATGCTCAAGTTCGGAGGTTTTTGAGGTGCTGCTGGACAATCGGAGCCACTTACTGCGCCCGGTAAGAAGAGCGACCGCTTGACATGCCTGTGTCATGCCCTTTTGTCACACAAGGTCGGTGGGACGCCCTTGCAAGTTGCAGCGAGTAAGGCACGACAGAAAAATTTGATCTCGGCTTGCGGTGCATTCTCATGGTCGTGTGCATCAGTGTTTGGCTCGGCGGATGCGATAAGAGGGATGTTAAAGATGGACCCTGGCCTGTGGCGTGTCGCCTCTGACGCTGTATCGTAAATCACACAAATGAACGTGAGTCATGGTTGTGTCGATGTGCTCTTGATTTGCTGTGAACAGGATGGCGTAAGTGCATTCCATGCAGCAGCCTTCCGAGATGATGACAAGGGCCCAGAAGTCCTAGAGGCGCTCGTCGAGGTCGCTGGACAGGAGGGGCTGGAAATGGAAGACAAGGTACGAGAATGCACGGGTGCCTCTCTTCCCTCTACCATGTATGCGATTATGTTCAGAATGGAGATACTCCTTTTCACCATGCGACACGTGAGTCATACTGAGACATCATGATAAGTGCTTTATCATGCATGTCTCTTTTCTCAGGCAAACGCAACGAAGGAGTGGTAGAGTGGATATTGAAGAAGAAACCTGATCTGCTGCAGATGACAAACGAGGTAGATGGTAGCGAATCCAGCTGTTCTGCCTGACGTTCACGTTCACATAATTGTGTCCAGGACAGAAGACTCCCTTCCAATGGGCAGCAGGTCAGTCACAACAACGGCATGTAAGACTTTGCAATCGACTGGTTTGCCATGTATCAAGAGTATGGCTCGGCGCGAATGGTGACGATGATGCTGAAAATGGACCCTAATCTGTGGCGTCGCACCTATGAGGTATCCCAAGTTGCACGGATAAGCTTGTACCACTGGAGGGGGAGGATGTCAGTGTGCTCTCTACGTGTTATCGACAGGATGGAATGACTGCATTTCACATGGCAGCGCGGCGGTACGACGATGAGGGCCCAGAGATTCTGGAGGCGCTTGTTGACGCCGCTGGACTGGAGGGACTAGAGATGAGAGACAATGTACGAGACACTACGCATCTTCTCTTCTCTTGATTCTCTTTGTCGTCCCTCCCCCATCTCTACGATTCTCTTGAGTCTGGAAAGCTCCCACTTGACACGGCAGAAGGTCGTCATATTGAGACACGTCGCAAGAAGCACTCGGAATCACTTTTTGCTCTTTACGTCTTCAGAAAGATGGAATGAAGGAGTGGTCCAGTGGGTCAAGTGGATGTTAGAGAAGAAGCCTGATTTGCGGCAGGTTTGCGTGACCGCACATTCTATTCGCACGTGTATCCTGCCGCTTATCGACAGGTGGCATCCCTGAGAGAGAACATCAAGAAGGCCATCGAGGAGTCAGATGCGGCTGCACTGGAAGCGGCCTTTCCCGATCTGTCTCCTGAACAGATCGAGCAAGCCTTGAGGTTTGGAAGATGGCAATGGGGCGAACAGAAATACGAAGCAACACACTCTGCCATCCATTTGGCCGCAAGTACGCGGTGACATGGCAATGCATCACCACGTATGAGATGGTCAATCTTTTGGCTTAGTGACATGTTCAAACTCGGAGGTTTTTGAGATGCTGCTCGACAATCGGAGCCACTTGCTGCGCCTGAAGGATAAGGTACAACATTACACAGCCCAGAAACATCTAGATGACTTGCTGTGTCACGCCGTGTATGCTATACTGATAGCGGAATGGGACTCCCCTGCATATTGCAGCAGCAGGTGAGCAAAGGATGACACACAATTTGCTGCTTACTCTGCTGGTGTCCATAGAGCGGGGCTCGGTGGATGTGGTGAAGGCGATGCTGAGGATGGACCCTGATCTCTGGCGTATCACTACTGATGGCTCTAAAACTTATCGTTCGACCGGTGGAGCTTCTTTTGATGTTTCTGTGAGCTCAGAAGAGAGCTTTTAGAAGTTGTCTGTCCAATCCTTTCTGCTTTCTGTGAGCTGCGGATTAACAGGGTCAGACTGCATTCCACAAAGCCGCCAGTCGACGTGAAAGTGGAGGCGTACAGATCCTGGAGGCTCTTGCTGAGGTCGCTGGACTAGAGGGTCTCGAACTGAGAGAATCGTGGAGAGCAACAGCACTCCATGATGCAGCAGGTGAGGCAAAGCGAGAGACACCAAATGCCGATATACCTGAGCCTTACTTTCAATCAGCGTCGGGCAATGCGGGAGTGGTGAAAGCGATACTGAAGATGCACCCTGATTTATGGCGTGTATCAGATGATGTACTGTGAGGAATGGCTGTGCCTCTTTGATTTGACTGTATTCACTCTCTGTCCTGTGACACAGTCTGGCTTCAGGGCCATTCAGGAAGCACTCTGTCAAAAAGAAGAAGGACTACAGGCCTTGGAGGCGCTTGTTGAGGTCGCTGGACCGGAGGCGCTCGAAGTGAAAGATTCGGAGGGAGCTACAGCACTTCATCATGTAGCAAGTGAGCAAAGCGAAAGACGTCAAGTGCCCTTGTGTTTGAGCCTTGCTGTTTATCAGCGTCCGACACTGTGAAATCCGTGAAGGCGCTGCTGAAGATGCACCCTAATTTATGGCGTGTGCAAGACAATGTACTGTGAGAAACGACTGTGGCTTTTTGCTTTGATGGTGTATGTTCTCTCCCCTGTGAAACAGTTCGGCCATAGTGCATTTCATATGGCAGCCTCTCTTGGAGACGAAGGACTACAGATGTTGGAGACGCTTGTTGAGGAGGCTGGAGTGGAAGGACTGATACTGCAAGACCAGGTATAAGCGCCTCTATTCTTCTTTTTGCAGCAACAAAATGGTAAAATCAGGCGGGAAGAACCCCTTTGCATACGGTACCTTGGGAGCAAAGAAAAGAATATTCTACGGGCGGCCCTACGAGCGGCCCTACGAGTTTGGCATACCGACGAGCAGGTCATTTAGAAAAGCTCATATACTTAGAGCTGAAGTATCTATGCTTGTCTCTCCTCATTCAGTTGCAATCGCAGGAATCGTGGAGTGGATAGTAAAAAAAAACCCTGATGTGCTATCGAAAGCGGACAGAGTAAGCCGCGCCGTTGCATTTTATCATCTCAACAATTTCTGGTCTGCGATGAACCTTTTTTCCTGTTTGGTCCATACAGGAAGGACGGACGCCTCTCGTTTATGCAATCACGCACAATCCCAGGGCTCTGGCAGCGATGTTGCGAGAGGCCGGCGGGTTTGTCATTGCGGAGCTCTTGATGAGGGAGAAGTTCGATCGCATATTCATGGATGACATGCTGCCGATGATCTTGCCCTCTCTGCAAGGCGCCATGGCCCAGTACCTGAGACATCGCTCCAAGTTCCCCAACCTTCATAGCATCCGCTTTTGCTCATACATCCGCCAGCTGGTGCAGCAACGGCCAAGAGACTCCCTCACCGAGCAACCCCTCCTATCAAGGGATGCCAGGATATGGTCAGGGAGGCATGATGATGCTGTGTTTTGTCTGATGGTCAGGGAGCTGGCGAAAGTGGGAGACTGGATGGAGGTAAGAAGAGAGAGACACCGACACGAATCACGATTTGCATAGTGACTTGATTCAGTCATTCGCGGCCAGTCAGTGCGCTCAGTCAGATCAATTTATCTTTCAACGCTCACTAGTGGGCTGGGAGATGGACTGATTCTACGGCATTCAATCTGCTGAAGCTCTGCAAGTAGTCACACAGAGTACACAACCGTTGGTACACGAAGAATGCTATCGCTTCACTGTGTCTCTTTCTTCTTTTGCTGTGGTCGAGACAGCCAACTGCATCTCTCTCGTCACACGGCATTGGCAGAAAGCATATCCAGGGTACGAGTTGCAAGAGTTCCCTTTGCAGAGGCTCTGGGGCGTAAGGTTTTCGCCCCGAAATGTCTCCTTCAGCCGCGTCTTGTCGATGCTCTGCCTGTGAGGATGGGAGCACAAAAAAGCATGCAAATCCACATGATATCCCTTTGTCTGACAGCATCATTTTCCACTTCCTGTACATCGACACGATGAAAGGAGACGGCGACATGGAGTTGACATTGATGGGGCAGTCGGTATGGCTCTGCGGCTGTTTGGCGACAGGCGCTGGTTTCATACTTCTCGAAATCAACCAAGTAGGAGGGGGGGAGAGAGGAAGGAGGGACGAAATGTACTCACTGAGAATCATTAATGTGCCCATGTGCTCACTAGGCTCTCCGGCTCAGGATATCGTATTGGGCAGACACTTGGAACTACATCGACCTCTTGTCATCTTTGTCAATCGTCGTCTTCCTCTTCATCCACTTCACCGGCTGGTCGTCGGAAACGGAGACATACGCAGGCATTGCCATCGCCCTCCTGTTTGCCCTGCGCCTTCTGCAAACAGCAAGCCTGCATCGAAACATCGGGCCGCTCATCCTGTCAGCAAATTCTAGAAACCTACCGCCAAGTTCCGTGTCTCATGTTGCGTCTCTCTCTCCCTTGATCAGAGCTGTTGTGAAGATGCTGTCTGACATCAGCATGTTCCTAATGGTGTACCTCTACATCTTGCTGGTCTTCGCCGGAGTGTTGACCGTTCTCTCGTCCGACGCAAATCATGAGTTCTTCGGCACATACGGCAAAGCCACACTCACACTGTAAGGAAGGACGGCAGGCATCCAAACACATCTGACTGTCTGCCTGTCTATGTTTGCAGCTTCTACGCCGGCCTTGGCGAGATCGAGACTCCACTGAACAACTGCATTGAAAACCATGACACTTTGGGCGCCGTCCTGCTCTTCATCTACGCCATCCTCTCGTCCATCATACTCGTAAGCCGTTGCCATGAAAGCTACCTGTAAGGGCTCGAATGGACTCTCCATGTTTGCTTCGTGTCTCTATCCACTGCTCACATAGCTGAACCTGCTCATCGCCATCATGGTAAGGCGCAGCGAGAAGGCCTACAATGGAGTGCACAGGGTCTATTGATGCCATTGTGTGATGTCTATCAGGCGTCCACTTATTCGGTGATCGAGCGGACACAGAATTCCCAATACGAGTAAGTGAGACACACGACGCCACGGGCAGTGACGACGTGCTGATGATGACTTCTGGTGTCGGTAGGCTGCTGCGCATTCGTGTGCTGAATGAGTATCTGTCAATGCCCAAGCTTGAGCGGCTGCCTCCTCCATTCAATCTCATTGGTTCGTGGCGAACATCAATGATTTCCCCATCGATACGCACTTGTGCATCCACACCCTGGTTATTCTGCATGCAGCCTTGGTCGTATCGGCTCCACTAGATCGCCTCATCACTTTCATTCAACAACGGTTTGGAGTAATTGACACTGTCACCGAGAGTGTCAGATACGAGACCACTTTCGGCTGCATCGCCTTCTGGGCATTGTTGTTGATCTTTAACGTCATCGACGGGCTCCTTTTCGTCCTTGCATTCACGCCCGTCTTCATTTTTTCGGCCCTCGCGCGTCTTCCCGACGTAATGCGATACGACAACTACTTTATCGCACTGGACAACACAGATTGTCTCCTGTTTTGCCTCTTCTTTCGCCAAGTGAGCACCACGGCAAGACTCAGGTAGTGACTTTGCGTGCACACTGTATCCCCCCAGGCCCGCACATTCGGCAAGCGTTTGTGGAACGCCATGGTCTTCATCCTTGTCATTCCCTTCGCCATCCTGGCATTCCCCCTGTGTTGCCTTCACGTGCAACAGCTGGTGCAAGTCCGACAGTGTGACGAGTGGCGTGGATCGAGGGAGGACATCGATTACTGGATCACTTCAGCGGATTTCCACAACGCGACCTCCTCTGACGTCATGACAGGTGAGATATTATCACGTCAGTATACCTCTGATCTGGAATGTCTCTTGTTACATGTATGTGTGCAGCCCTGAAACAGTTCAAAGGGGAGCAGCAAACCAATTCTTCTGCAGCAGCTGGCATGTTGTCTTCCCAATCGAACATGTTGTCAGGTGGGAAAGAGACACGCGTTCTTTGTGCCCTTGAGGTATGCTGTCGAGTCGGTCTTTTGGTGGTCGTCAGTCTTGCAAGGGATGCTGAAGGAAATTGGAGAGCGACAGATACAGATGGACGAGCGACAGATACAGATGGACGAGCGACAGCTGCAGATGGACCGAAGGATCGCGGAGATCGAGACACAGATGAAGAGGAGAAGGTGAGGAGCGAACGACAGCGAGCCAGGATGAGACTGCTGCAATCAGACACACCACGTGATGGTCAATACATGCCGAAAATGCTGTTGTGCCTGACTTGATGCATGGCTGGCCAGCCTACAGCCAGAGACATCCACCCACGAAACACAAACACACACACCTGGACCCAGATCCAACAGAAGGCAGGCAACCATCAGAAAGGGGCACACAACTGGTTGTCTCTCACACGCGTGCCAGCATGCACTTATACAGCTCTCACCATGGACAGGCGAGAACAAGACACATGGTGTGACATGCTCTGCAGGTCGGTCGATCCGGCTGACGAACGAGAGACGCATCTCTGTGAATGAATTTGATGGTTTGTCTGTCTGCCTGTCTGTCTCTTTGTGTATACGTCGGTGTCTCAGGATGCGCATGGTCCGCATGCAGCAGCTGCTGGGCAAAACGGTCCGCTGCTATGAGGTCTTCTTCGACTACCCCGAACACACACCAGACAGCGGCCTGCTCACCATCGAGTGCAGACTCTACTCGGAATCGAGAATACTGGAGGCTGGCGGCAATTTCAGGGCCGCTCAGGTGACCTATGGGCTCTGCCCCGTACCCACCGAGAAAGAGATTGCCGATGAGGTGGAGCAAGAGAGGGAGGGGGAGGAAATCAAATTGGGAGGCGCAAACACGACAAACACGACCACCGAGACACCATCGATGGTGCCGAACGGGACCGCTTTGATCGATGTGTTCAGCCACAGTGCTGCTGTTGGTGCTGTTGGTCAGGCAGTGTATGGCTCGTGGGCAGACGGGGCCTATAGGGATATAATGTGGCATGAAGAGCAGCCGTCGGTGCGTCGAAAGAGAAAGAGGAAATATGGTTTGGCGCGAGAAAGGCTGAAGTTCCGCAGGCGATAGGTGCATGATAGATGATGGTCTTTGTGTGTGTGGTTTGTGTGGGTGGGCGTGTCTCTGATAGGGTGCATGATTTGTGGCTCTGTGGATTGGTATGGTCGACAGGGCTGTCTCTGTCATCATTTAGTCGTGTCGATTCGTGTGGCAGTCAGTCCATGCACGGTGCGAACATTGGTCCATCCAGAACAAATGTTCCTCAGCTCTCGCAAGGCAGAAATCACAACATCATCACACACCCCAGACCGCAATCACTCGCTGCCGTCCTCCCCGTCACTGGTCTTGGTGGTGTCGGTGCCTTCTGAGCCGACGTCGGTGTCCTCCTCTATCATCATAGCCTCCATGGCCTCGACCGACTGAACCAATGCAACAGAGGAACACAAGTGCAGCCAGTGGATGCACGGACATTCGCGGGGAAACATCCTGTCGACAGACCAGGGTGCGTATGTTCTCATCGGCGTGGTGCGTCAGCTGCGAAAGCCTGACCACTCCATCGGCCTACATACGACAAGCAGATGGGCGCCTTCTGTTTTCGCCCGCATGTGACCTACCTGTTGTAGGAGGTTGCGGTAGGGGTTGTGCGGGAGGCCGTCGCGCGCCTGGACCTGCGCACCCACTCTGTGGAAAAGAGAGACACCAGCACACATACGGACAGGATGCATAAGCACGGTGTTCTGTGCCTTGTGTTGTGGTGTTTGTGTTGTGATAGAAAGGGCACCGCAGAAAGTTGTGGACTGCATTGAGTGAGCCTCTGAGCATTGCGACCTCCGTCCCGTCGGCGAGCAGATCACACAGCGGCCCGACGCAACCACTCGCAACCAAATACTCCACCTGAACAACCATGACATTACAGCACATTCATTCCAGGTGGTCTTATCGGTACCTGCTGCTGTGATCCGCCCAAACACTCCATTGATGATGGCCCACAGTGCCTCTCTCCTGACGTTCGGCTCGTCTGTGGTGGCTGTGGTGATCACTTGCGGCACCACGTCGCCATCGATGACCGCCTGACGCTGCTCACGTGAACCTGACCAGACACAGATACGCCATTGTCCCCACTGCTTTGTTTGTTTGAGCTCACCCACCAGCCATGATGTTGGAGATCGTCCAGCATGCCTGCCTGCGAATACGCACTACGGGCGACGACAGCAGCCCCTGCAAAGCAGGAATGGCGCCCCACTCGATCATTGCCTGTGTCTGCACATCATTGCCTGAGACCACACAAACACACACAAGATCAGGGCACGCATTGACCAGCCACCTTAATCTCCCTCTCCTCAACCCAGCCCTCCGTGTATGCGTTTATGTACCCGCGACGATGTTGCCGACGGTACTCACTGTAGATAGCTGAATCTCACGGCTGTCATGGCCCATCAGCTGCACCAGACGACCGCACACACCACTGCCCACCACGGCCTCGATGTCCTCGTCAGCTCTCCCGTGGGTCACGTATGACAGTGCCCAGCACGCGCCAATCAGCACCTCAGCGTCTTGTTGAGGCGTCTTGATGAGCTCTGCGACCACCGGCACCGCTGGCGACACCAACTCGAAGAGCGGCTGGGGCCGCCCACGGCACAGTTTCCAGAGCGTCCAGGTGGCTGAGCGCACGATTGACACCTTCTTGCTCTCGCGCAGCAGATCGACCAGTGGCTTAATGACGCCCGCTGCCAGCACCAGGTCGCGCGAAAGTGGCCCATCGCTCGCGATGTTGCCCAGTGCCCACATGGCCTGGTCGCGCGCGTCACCATCAGACGACAGCAGCTGAATGAGGGGCGGAATGCCACCAGCCTCAACGACGGCCTGCGTCTGCTCCGATGTGCCCCCAGCGATGTTGGTCAGCGCCCACGCCGCCTCAAACTGCACCTTCGGCATGCTCGAGTCACTGAGCAACCCCACGAGTGGTTGAACGACACCCGCATCGATGGCCTCCTGGATGGGCGGCACTCCTTCGATGGCGACCAGCTTGCGAACTGCAGCGGCGGCCTCGAGTTGGATGGCTGCATCGCCGCTTTTGAGTCCGTCGGAAATGACGCCGAGCAGACAGGCCATGTTGACGCCCACCCTTTGCCGTGAAGTTGCAATGCGGCAGAGCGCACTTGCCGCGTGCACGCGCACATCGAGATGCGGGGACGAGAGTTGCTGCCGGAGAGCGGACATTGCAGCAGCCGCATCGAGGTCGTCAGCAGCGATGATGGCGATAGCTGCCAGGCATCTGGCCGCCTCTCTCACAATCATGGGCTGGCAGCTCTTGAGTAGCCGCACCAGCACCGGCAGCGCATGAATGGCGTCGGTGGCCGCGTGGCGATTCTCCTTGACACGCCGGTGCAGCTCACGGAGGGCACTCAGTCTGATCTTGATGAAGGAAAAGCGGCTCGAGAGGCGCTTCGCAAGTTGAGGGACGGTCAGCTGCTTCAGGTCGGGCCATATCAACGAGCAAACGGCCACCCACACGGCGCTGAAGAAGGCTGAAACGCCCCGCATCTCCTCAGACAAATCTGTTTACAAATGCTGTAAATCGCTTAGGGGGGTCCAAGGCTGCCATGGGATGAACAGATAAATGGATCTCGTGCAAGTCAGTAGAGGATTTCTAACATGTACAGCTCAGTCAACGCTGTCAGTCAATCACTGCTGAGCTACATCTACTGGTGCCTAGCTACCACCTCTGGTTGATCTCTATTTCCTGCCTCAGCTTGACAATCTGTCTGGGCCCATAGTATCCGCCCCGCAGACACACTCCACCATACACCAGCGTCCCCCGCCCCACACACACACCCGGGTTGCACACCACATTGCAGCCCGTCTGCACGCCGTCGCCCAGCACGGCCCCCATCTTCACCAGCGACGTGT